TTGGATAATTTGGTTTGGGCCCGTTTAAGAACGAAGTGGCTTTGCTATTAATTTGAGATTTTTACAAAGAAAATATTCTTAAACATTTATTTAGGTACAAGAGCAAGCATTTTTATTTTATTAAATTTTAATTTTCTCTTTTCATCAATTACACTTTGCTAAATCCAGCAAGTGTTGGGCAATGCTTGCAATGCTTGTCAAAAATATATGGAGAAAAACAACAGAAAACCGAGGACAATATAACCCTCCAAAATGTTTTAGAAAATATCTTAATTGTCATTTAATATAGCAACTGTTTCTTCAAAAATTAGACTAACGTGCTTTTTAAAAATATTGTAAATTTAGTACATTATTGTAGAGATAAAGGTAAATCATTTTAGTTTTAACTCCCTCCTGCTAAATATGTTTGCCTCATTAGCAAAAGGTATGGACATCACTGCATAAATATTTAAAAAGACAATATTGGGTCAAAAGGCCCCCCGGAACGTTTCTCCACCAGCTGTAGTTCACCGGGGACAGTTTTGTCGAACGGTTCATCTCAGTCCGTCATGCCGACCGATACAAAGCGAGTTCGCGGGCCTGAGGCGTCTCAGAGTCCGCTCCTGTTCTGGTCCCGACCCGCAGAGGTTCTCCCTTCTCACGGACCCAGAGAGGACGGTCGCCAGCGGGACCAGGTTGACGTGCGGCCGGTGTTTGTCCGCTGCGGCCTAGTGAGTCAAGCTAAAGGTTCCGCTTACATCGAGGCTGGAAACACCAAGGTGCTGTGTTGCGTTTACGGACCGCGGGAGACGGAGCGGAAAGATGAGACTGACATGAAATCTGGAAGGTAAGGGCTGTTTATTAACCATGTTAATTATTCTCAGTCGTCTTACTCACAGAAAGCAGGATTGGAATAAAAAAACTCTTTTAGATTTTTTTTCTGTTTTTTGTCATTTCTTTTTTAGAACAAAAAAAAAACTTTAAAAAATCTAAATTGAATTGAGTATGGGGGGGGGGGAAATCTGAGATTTTATTTTCAAGTTGTATCATCCAGCCCAGTGGTTTGTTTTCTGATTCCAGTGTTAAAACAGTCCTGGTGTGTTTTGACTGACTCTCTGTCTCTCTGTCTGTGTCTCAGACTGACCACCGACATGCGCTTCGCTCCGTTTTCCTGCCCGGAGCGCGGCTCCTGGATCCAGGGCAGCCAGGACAAGGACTTCTCCCTGATGCTCCAGGAGAGCTTGCAGCCGGCTGTCTGCCTCCATAAGTATCCGCGCTCTCAGATCGAGGTCAACGTCATGGTTCTGGAGAACAGCGGCTCGGTTCTGGCCCACGCCGTCACCTGCGCCTCCATGGCATTGTCGGACGCCGGGATTGAGATGTACGACTTGGTGCTGGGATGCTCCCTGCGCCAGGACGGCGGCTCCTACGTGGTTGACCCGACGTACCCGGAAGAGAACAGCTGGAGCTCGGGCAGCGGGGAGAAGCGAGGCGGGCTGACGGTGGCGTTCCTGCCCAGTCTGAACCAGGTGTCTGGGCTGCAGTCGGACGGTGAGATGGCGGAGGAGACGCTGACGGCGGGGATTCGGACCTGCATCGAGGGATGTTATAAACTGTATCCTGTTGTCCAGCAGGCTCTGATCAAGGCGGTTCGCAGGGCGGCTCTGCCACCAGCAGAGAGCTGAGAGACACTCTGGACCCACTTCTTCTTCTCTTCTGTCTTTATGTTCATTAACATCACTTGTTTTCTATCTGCAGTGTTACAAAAATAAACTTCATTCCTCAACAGCTGAACATGCAAACCTGTTTTTATACACTAGTTGGACCATTGCTTCCAGATTCAGAGTTTTCTACACTGCAAAAAGACCAAATTTTACCAAGTATTTTGGTCGAGTTTCTACTTCAAATATCTTATTGCATTTCAAATGAGACAAAACAAACATACAAGTAGCTTTTCAGCAAGATATAGGAGCATTAATTCTCTAATGTTGATGAAAACATACTAATTCTACTTGCAGATTATTTCACAAATATGGGGAAAATGTCTGAAATTAAATAATCTGCAAGAAATTATTGACTTAAAACAAGCTCCTATACCTTGCTGAAATATACAGATATTTGGAGTAGAAACTAGCACAAAAATACTTGGTAAGATTTTGTGTTTTTACAGTGCAGCATAGCGAATATAAAATATACTATCACCGTGGTGGAGGAGTTATGATTTCGGGCTGTTATTTTTGCAGCCTTTGGATTCAACAGAAAATAAAAGCTGCTGACTCGAGTTTTGTAGTTGTTGGATAATTTGTGACTTCGGAACATATATTTTTGAGTACTAGTTCAAGTAAAAAGTACTATTTCATCTGGCAGTTTGTTTTTTTTCATAAGTGAAATAATCTGCCAGTGGAACTAGTACCAGTGCATATATATATATATATTTTATAAGTAACTACTGACCTAAACAAAGCTCCTATATCTTGGTGAAAAGTTACTTTTAAGTTACGTTTGTCTTATTTCAAGGATACTACAACATTTGCACTTGGAACTAGATGGAAAAAATACCTGGTAGGATTTTGTGTTTTTGCAGTGTAGTGGTGCAAACATAAAATAATAGATATTTCTGGAAATTACTTGATGCTTTCAGATATATTCCACATTTTTCCAGAACTTAACCTGCAACTTTCTAGTTACTTTACCAAAACTTACAAGGTACATTCAGAGAGCAGCTTTATGAAATTGTGTCTTATAATGTAGAACTTTCCAGAACTTACTGGATATTTTTCTGGAACCTACTGGTAACTTTACAACCTAACGTTTACTTTATGAAATCTGTAAACTCCAGAAAGCAACTGGCAATTTCCAGAACCTGCAGAAAGTCACTCAGTGTCTCTTTATGGATCTTAAATGTGTTGTGAAGGATTAAAATGTCAGATCCTGAATTCTTCAGCCCTCATCTCATCCTTGCATGTTAGTTTAGTTTAATTGTCTAATGAATCACCATCTGCTGAGAGAGAAACAGAGCAAACTTCAGAGTTTATTCACCAAAAAGCTCTGAATCCCTAATGTAAGCAGGGCCCAGCTGGGCCCACTTGGGAAGTTGTTATAATCCTCCTCTGACCTATAAACAGGAAAATACAGAATATAAAGCACCATGCTCCCATCTCCAAATAATACACCGACTGTGTTGTCCTTGTAAGGGAATCCACCTCTGCAACAACTCTGGAAAATTCAAACTTTGGGTCCGAATATTTTCTTTTAACACAGAAATAGCCACATAATTAAATGAACACTGAGCTGAACACAAGTTTTCTACCATTTATTTTTTTTACATCTTAGCTCTTAATTGGAATGTTTTGCTATAAACAAATAATAACAGTAGTTTCTTTTTATTTTTGACAGTTTTTTGATCCCCAATATAAAGCAGCCTCCAGTTAAACGCATTAACAATCATTATTTCCTTCACTCCAGGAACTTATTTAGAACCACAAAAGTTATTTGATCTTTTGAAAAAACAATTTATATTTTTTATGCACTTTATAACATTTATTTTTAAACCTCTGTCATATTTTTTGTTCTGTTTTTTGTTTGAAAACAAAAAAAAAAGTCCCAAACTTTTGCAAAAAGTTTTGGACTTTGTCATTGTCACTCCACAATGCTAAAATTTGCAGATAAATTATGAAGATGTCAGGAAGCTCAGCTTTCAACCTAATTGCTAAAAAAATATATCAATAGTAATTCTACTTTTAGTCTCTTTCAATGTTTATGCACTACCAGGGTGTCTTAAATTCAGATGTCTAAAATTAAGGCCTTAACATTTCTTTTTTTTTTTTATTAATAAATTTGCCTTGAATTTTTGTTGTGGCGTGGTCATTTAATATTGTGTATTCTATCTATTTATTTATCTACCTACGTAAATATCTATTTATTTATTTTACTCACTTGACTTTTCTGTCAGGCAAAAGTTTGAGCCACCCGCAGACATTGCGCTCGAGACGGTAGCGGCTACCGGTAGTTAGCTGCTAACTAGCAAGCTAGCAAAATCACAAAACTTTTACCTTTATTTATTTATTTGTCTTAAACTTAAATCAAAGTGTCATTAAAAAGTTTTTTTTAAGTTCCTGAATTTGACTTGTAACCTGCAGATATCCTGAATACAATTATAAAAATGGCTAAAAACCTCATTTGTTGTCCGATCGAATCACAAAGTTCTTTTATCATTTTTAGCCCAGATTATGAAGAGCAATTATGGAAGACTCAGAGAGTAAATCAGAGTTTTGGAGAAGCAAACAATCTTCCCAAATATGTTTGATCTGATCACTTGAATTAAGACAAAACTAATATATCTTGTTTAAAGTAAATGATTACTTAAGATTGATTTGTTGACTATTATTATTTAAAATGAGTATTAAGGAATTATTGATCTAAAACAACCTTCTATATCACGCTAAAGTGTTTTTAAGTTAGTTTTGTCTCATTTCAAATCTACTGAAATATTTGCACCTGAATAAAACACTTGGTGAGATTGTGTGTTTTGATAGTTTTTCTCTGAATTAACACAGAAGTTAATCCCTGGATTTTATTCCGAAGCTCATAAATAAGTGAACAGAAACTGTTGGAAGTCATTTTCTTTTTGTTTTTGATTCTGTGACCCCCTCCCTGTTTGCTTGTCCTCCCTCTGTGGACCTGCAGATTTCAAACAGCACATCAGCGCGTTTCTGCAAATGCTGCCCGGAAATTTGTCCAAATAAACACAGCTTGATTCGGCCTGGGTGGGCAGACTTATCAAGCACTAATTCTGTAAACATATGAGGGGAACGAGCGGGCCCCTCATTGGCTGCGGGCCGGAGGAAGAAGAAGAGGGAGGAGGAGTGGAGAGGGGTGTTCGGTGAAATTTGAATGAATGTGGGTGGGCTGGGAACACAGACCGGTTCTGATGGACAGTTTATTTCCCATTTCAGTGTCAACATAACGCAACAAACCTCCAACAGCTCTGGAAAGTTTTCTGGGGCCCCATGAGTGTGAGGAGTCAGTCAGTGAAGCAGAGGCTCCCCTCATGGCTCTGTTCCCCGGCCGCCTGCCGCCGCTCGCTGTCTCCTCGTCGGCTCTGAGCCTCTCCGGAACCCCGCTGATCTACCTGTACGGAGGGGACAGCACACTGAGCCTGGTTCCGGGGTCCCAGGAGCCCCCCCAGAAGCCTCCTTACAGCTACATCGCGCTCATTGCCATGGCCATCAGGAGCGCGCCCGGGCAGCGCGCCACGCTCAGCGGCATCTACCAGTTCATCATGGATCGGTTCCCTTTCTACCAGGACAACAAGCAGGGCTGGCAGAACTCCATCCGGCACAACCTGTCTCTGAACGACTGCTTCATCAAGCTGCCCAGGGAGAAGGGTCGGCCCGGGAAGGGAAGCTACTGGACCCTGGACTCCAGCTGTTTGGATATGTTTGAAAACGGAAACTACCGCCGCAGGAAGAGGAGGGCCAAGAGCCAGCAGGACGCGCCAGACTCCAAAGATCCTGGATCGAGACGCGCAAAGGTCGCCGTGTCTTCTAGGGGAGCTCTGAACTCTGATTGGGGGGCAGTACCGGCGCCAAATAAAGAGCCGAACACAGGACCGGTTCTTTTAAAGTTCTCCCAGCAGAATCCAGTCGCACAGAGACAAAAAGCGCATATTTCCACGGAACCCCACGCTGATTCAGGATTGGCTCAGCGCGCCAACCTGCCCGCTGCAGCACAGCAAACACCGAGAGCGAACCAACAGAGGACGGACAGGTCCAAAGGGTTCACCATCGAGAGCATCTTATCCAAAAGTCAAGACGAAGCGCGCGGCCGCGTCCTGGACGTTTCAGCGCAGAGTCTCTGCGCGCCCCCGCTCATCAGTGCGCATCCCCACCACCTGGTCCAGGTGGGACTCCCCTTCTGCTCCTACCTGTCTCTCACCTGCTCGGACTCAGCGCTGCGCTTCCACTGAAGGGGAGCGCGCAAAAACATTCAAGAATTTTTACGCACAGATGCGTAAAAGTTTGTTAATCAAAGCTGTATTTACCCAGAAACCACAAGATCTGCGCCATTTTTATTACGTTCATCAACATCATCGGCATTAAAACAATACAGCAGAACAACAGGGAGAAATGAATGTTTTTAATCATGTGTGACTTCTTGTTTTTTTATTGTTGCAGACAAACACGTTTAAATGCATTTTTTGTTGTAATTTAACACGACAGGGCATGGAGATGCCAAACAATGTGAGGATTAACTTTACTGTAAGCAAAACATATAAACTGGTCAGCTCTGCGTTTGAATGTTGCAAAAATAAAGTTCAGGTAGATCAAACTGTTGCTTTGCTGTTATTGATTTATTTGAACAGAAGAAAATCAGAAAATATTATGCAGATTCCAGTTCACTGCACTGCAAAAACACACAATGTTGTCAAGCATTTCTGGTCGAGTTTCTTTGTAGAAAATGTCTTCAAATAAGACAAAAGTAACTTTCAAGTAACTTTTCAGCAGGATAGGAGCTTGTTTTAAGTCAATAAGTTAATATTGATGGAAAAGTGTTAGTTGCACTATTATTCCACTTATAACATGGGAAAAATGTCTTGTACTAATTGATTAATCTACCAGAGGAATCAGTCCTGCTTTAATCAATATGAGGGAATTATTGACTTAAAACAAACTCTTATTTTCCTGAAATTACTTATCGGTTATTTTTTCTGTGAGACTTTATTTGATGGGATGTTTGAATAAGACTGACATGACAGTTGCAATGAAAGTCCATTAAACGTGTCCTTCAAATGAAGTGTTAGCGTTCGGTCTTATTTCCAGTGCACTAAGATGTTTGCACTAGAAGATCAAAAATACTTTGCAAGATTTTTGCAGTGCGTTTGTGCATCACCCTGCTGCTGGAGGCAGGACTGAACCAGGATGTATCTGCTGTTTTCCTGCATCAAACTACAGCTAGGTGTCATTATTTAGCATTTCGGGTGTCAAAAATGCTACAAATAAATGTTAAACATTTCTGCAGAAAAAAACCTTGTCGCCAGGAGTTTTCTTGCTCGATCCAAAGCAGATCATGATGCCTTGGATAAACGTTGCAGGAAGCAACGAGAGGAACAAAGAGAAAGTTACTTATAATGAAAGTGAATCCAATTTGCTGCAATTCTCTAATTGATTTTTTACAATGTACAAACAAACAAATTTAGATTTTAGCTAAACAAACTAAGAAAAACAAAACTTCAGATTTTATAATTGTTTTGAACCAAACCCTCTGGTTTATGCTGCCCTGTTCAAAGAGCCACATCATCCAATCAGAAAACTGCCACTTCAGCCACCGAAGCCATTAATTACATTTTATGAACATCTGCTGCATAGATTATGTTTTATTGCACTAGAACTAGATGCTTACATTAAATTTTACGTTTTAAGACATAGTAAGATGTCAAACTTTTACAAAAAGACAGTAGAATTATTTTCATGAATGAAACATTCCAGATGTAGTTAAAATAAAGACGTCTTCGTTCCTAATGAGATTTTATGCAAATGTAACATTAAAAATGTAGAAAATATGCTGAGAAACAAAATGAAAAACTGAAAAATGAAAGTCACATTAAAATGGTTGTTATTGATATGGAGATTATATCCAAATAAAACATTTAAAAAACATTTAAAACTTTTATTTTGTCTTGTTATGTTTAAAAATATTTCTCAGGTTTTATGAACAATTAATTTGGAGGACGTAACGTAACTCTGGAACCTCAGATTGCAGACCCCAGGTCAAATTAATACAGCCCGAATCCAAACAGCAGAAAATGATGGCCTAGTCAAAGTCCAGCCCTCCACCTCATCTAAATCCTGCAGAAGAAGCAACTGAGAAGGCCTGGAATGAGTAAAACTGCTCAACATTGATGTGACAGGCTGAGAAAATGAGAGAAAAAGTCAATATTGTTACAATAAAACCTTAAAACAACAAATCAGGCTTCATTAAGTTTCCAACCTGCAACTTGTCACCTGCATGAAATCAGAGCGCCACATCGCCATCATGTCTAAATATAAAGCCACAGAGGAGCTGCGCAGCCGACGCTGAGCAAATCAGGAATGTTTGTTTGAAATAAATAAACTTCCCTCACAATCACAAGCATTTCCTGTGTATAGGATTCCTCGGGCAGATGTGTAAATAAAACATGATGAAAAATAAAACATGAGAGGAGAGGAGAGGAGAGGAGAGGAGAGGAGAGGAGAGGAGAGGAGAGGAGGGAGAGGAGAGGAGAGGAGAGGAGAGGAGAGGAGAGGAGAGGAGAGGAGAGGAGAGGAGAGGAGAGGAGGAGAGAGAGGAGAGGAGAGGAGAGGAGAGGAGAAAGGAGAGAGGATGTTTGAACGGTAACAGATCCTCCTGTGAAAGCGCCTCAGACGGTGAGGAAATCTTGTCAGATTTACTTGTTGTGAGAGGAAACAAACTGAGCCGACGGTCGGCCAGCACCGGACACTTTACTGGATCCTATCAAATATCATCAGAGTCTCTCCTGACGTTCCTAAATGTATTTCATCCTGACATTTAACATCATCTTTCAGCTTTAATTCATCCACAAAAAACTGAGAAAAGAACGACACTAAAACACAAAGTCTTACCAAGTTCTTTTGGTCTAATTTCTAGTGAAAATAAGACAAAAATGACAATTAGCTTTTCAACAAGATATCAGAGCTTCCTTTAAGGAATCTGTATAAATAAAACATTAGTTCTACCATTTCATTTATAACAAGGTATTTTCCCCATAAGTGGAAATAAGTTGCCAGAGGAACCAATATTTTTAATCAATATTAAAGCTGCACCATGTAACTTTTATACGAATATATTTATGTATGTTTTACTAATTTGTTGAAACTGTCACCATGTCTTGACAGAATAATATGAGACAGATAATCTGTGAAAAAACTGAGCTCCTCTGCAAGTCTTAGCGCTGTCAATCACCCTCATGGAGCCGCACCCTGGGTTGTTTTGGGTGCATTTCTTCAGACATCAACAGCAGCTCATGGAGGAAGAGAAGATCAATCTTTTCACAGATGATCACAGATGAACGTGTGGCGACACGGTGAATTATTGACTCATAAGAAGCTCATATTTCCTATAATCTGTGAAAAAAACCAAGCTCCTCCGCTCTCCCAGTTCTCCCAGTTCTCCCAATTCTCCCACTCACTGACCTCTCAGTCAGAAACAACCAATCAGAGACAGGGGGAGGGTCTTACCGCTGTCAGTCACTCTCATGTATGTGCCACTCACAAACTCCCACTGCTATACTAACTGCTACTTAGTGATGATAGACTGTTTTCCTGGAACAGTAAATTGTTTCTTCGGGATCAAAACGTTTCACACATGGATGATTGTCAGCACTAAGACCCGCCTCCTGGCCCTGATTGGTTGTTCTAGGTCAGGAGTGGTGCTATTCTTCAGACATGCAGGAGCTTGATCTTTTCACACTTTATCTGTCTCATAATTATCACAACATGGTGAACATTTTAGCAAATATGGAAAAACAGCATATTTTTGTAGAGGTTACTGGAGCTTTAAAGAGGAGCGGCAAAAGCAAAAGAGGCAGATTAGCGATGCTTGCCAACAACTGATGATGTCATCCATGACATGTTGCTGCGCAAGGTTGTTTCTGCTGAGTATTGAGCTGTTAGCATGTTCAGACCATCATGCAGAAACAGTCTTCAGTCAGAGGCTTCTTTGGAGTCGCTGCAAGACTGACTGCTACCAGGACGTGAATTATGATTTTTATTTTCCCTTTGGGATCAATGAAGTGTTTTCAGTCTGAACTGATCTGAATTTAATGTGCAGGAAATCTCAGTGAACCGCAGCTAATAGTCGGTCGTGTCGCTTTTAGAAATCACAGCAGATCCCAGGGGATCTCAGCGGATCCCAGGGGATCTCAGCGGATCCCAGGGGATGCCAGCAGATCTGCTCAGAGTGTTTTGGACCCGATCTTGTCTCATGTCTCAGAGTTTCTGAGACAAACACAAGAGGAGTTATTAACTTCCTCCCATGTGGAATCGAGCTCTAAATATCACCGTCTGGAGTTTTCTGGATCAAAAGCGCTTCTAATCCTGGTGTTTATTATAAGTTTTCACTCCCTGCATAAACCACCTCCACTTGTCCAAATACACACTCAGCACCAGGCGGAGGGCAGGGCCCTGATGAAGACGGATGGACCCGGTTCGGGACACATTAGCCGCTAATCACGTTAGGTTTACTCAGTTCAATAAGTCACATTGTCCGCCAGAGAGGCACTGATGCTGTTTACAACCCGGACCCAAACACAGCAGGAGTTCTGATGATCCGAACCCGGTTCTGATGTCCTGAGACTCACATCAGGCCACAAAAAAACAAAACAAAACAAAAAAAAAAACTAATTTAAGCTCATTTTTCCTCCTGAAATACAGCAAGGATGCAGAAAAATAAAATTAAAAAAAACATTTAGTTCAAATAAAAAATACTTTGATTCCAAGTGGAAGTAAAATGAGAAATTTCAAATTTAAACATTTTATGTCAAAATTCACAATTAAAACTAAATCAAAAATAAAATCTGAATTTTCTATTAGTTTTAAAATGACTAATAAAAAGCTAAAAGTTAAATGTTCACAGTTTTACATTAAATTGAAATCTGTTTGAGTAAAAAGGATTAGAATAAAATACAAAAACATCTAAATAAAATAAATGTTTGATTTATATTAAAATGGTGAAAACAAGAATATAAAGGGGAGATTTAATTGGCATTTTGAGTATTTAAGCATTTTACTTTGGAAAATTGACTAAATTTGTATTGAAGATGGAATAAAATTAGCGGGGAATCACTTGTTTTACATTTTAACTTAATTGTCATTATCTCGTAAAAATTAGTTTCACTTTGATGTTAATTGTTTTTAATTGATTTGTAAAACCAATAAAATTGTATCAATAGTTTTTAATAACCTGCTCATCTCTCCTTTAAGCATCAGTTTCATTTAAGTTTTTGCGACTTTATATAAAACTACCTTTTTAATCTCTGGACTCATTTGTGAGGAATCTGAATTTAAATCCAGACAGAACGTTCTCTCATCCTGCTCTCGTTCCTCTCGGCCTGAACATGGCGGTGATTCCTGCATGTCGCTCTGCAGCGCCGGGACGCGCAGAAACAAATATTTATTGTATGTTTAACATTTGGATCTTGCTGTTGAAGCTCCACAAACTGAAGTTCTGAAGGAAAACATCCTGGACCCCCGGCTCCGAAACGAGACGCAGAAAATGTTTCAACATCTCTGCAGCTTTGCTTTCTCCAGCTGTAAACAAACACTCACGATCCCACGGGGTGTGTGTGTGTGTGTGTGTGTGTGTGTGTGTGTGTGTGTGTGTGTGTGTGTGTGTGTGTGTGTGTGTGTGTGTGTGTGTGTAGGCTTGTGCGGCAGCAGGATTACCACCCTCGGATCGGGACCACCCTGACTTTAACACTTAATCCAGCCGGAAGTGGAGTGACGTCACGCATCTCCTTGAAGAACCGGGTTCGGTTTGTCTCCACACGAACTGAGAGCCAAACAAACCGCTGCACAGCTGCTCTCTCACAAACCCAACGTGTTTGTTGAATCTGGCGTTTCCAGAGAGCCTCTGAACGCATCGGAGTTTGTCATGGAGGGAGAGAAACCGGATGTTGGAAGGTTGGGGATGTTGGTCCATTCCTCCACCCAGAAGTTTGGGATCTATGTTCAGCGTTGCTGCATCAACACATTCATTTATTTTTTTCTTTTCTGGTGAAATGTAATTTTTTTTTTTTTGGTGAGGTCGTTCACACTTCCAAATTTCTGCGTCTCCAATCCGATCTGCGTGAACTGTAAATGACCTGAAAGTGTCCAGTAGAGGGCGCAATGACGTCACAAGTAGAGAGCGTGCTCAGTGTTTTACCAACCGCCCTAAACATAAAAGAAGAAGTTCAGTGCGGAAGTAATCGTGGATGCTAACGGTTTAGCATATCTTTCGATTTTTGAGTTGTTGTTCAACTGCAGCCATAACGTTAACAACTTAATCCTCATTCCGCCAATAATTGTTGTTTTTCTTCTCACCTGCTCGTATCGCGACGCAGAACGGTGACGTTTGTTCTGGTTCTGAATTAATGCGACCTTAAAGCACAAACTCAGGTCACATTTGAATAGATCCGATGCTGTCAGATTTAGAACCGCATGTCCAAGACGGAAACAATCCAATCAGTTACAAACTCGCCCTTCAGTGACCTAAAGAACATTTAGAGGACTAATGTCTCAGCAAGATCTAGAGAAACTGATCCATGCATTCATCTTTAGTGGCACTGATTACTCAACAGAGTAGAGGAAAGCTGCTGCTGCTGTTCTGACTAAAACCAGGAAGACAGAGCACATCTCCCAGGTCTAAAGTCCTTCACAGGCTCCCTGCAGCTCAGGATACACTTTAAGATGCTGCTGTTAGTTTATAAGCCACTGAACGGTTCAGCACCACAACAGATTATCAACCTTCCAGAACCTCTCAGATCATCTAGTTCTTCTCTGCATCCAGAACCAAACATGGAGAAGCAGCTTCTATGCAAATCTTTAACTGTAAAACAGGCGACAATCTGGACTAAAAACCCAGCAGTTTAGTCGCTTTTGACCCAGAATAAATGAGGAAAACTTTGATGTGTGAAGAGAGAACTTAATGTTTCAGTTGCTCTGTTTTTATGATGTAAAGTACTTTGAACTGCCTGCCTGACTGATAGTGTTTAAATTGGGTCTCATTTGTAAAGTTTGCTGTAAATCCTTTTTGTGACTCAAGAGGCTTAATGTGACTTAATGTTCTCCTTCAGACGCGGAAGCAGCAGCCGAGCAGCCATGACACCAAACGGACCTGCGCTCATATTTCTGGTGTGAATCTGGGTTTGCATGATTGTGCTGAAGTCTGGCATTAATTAGCCGGAGCAGGCAGCTCATAGTGTGACACCGCTGACGGGCCTTTCACAGCTCATTGCGTGGCATCCAATCAGAGCTCAGCTGGCGTGACTGCTGTTTATTTATCCACGGAGCTGGAAATGGCGTGGAGATGGAGCCTGGACCTCTGGAGCACATTGTCTCCATCAACACGGAGCAGACGAACCGAACTGCACAGGAACACGTTCTGGGTTTTTCTGTCACATCTGGTTCTGCTCAAATGTTTCTCCTTTAGGATCACTGTCACGGCCGGGGTTTATTTAAATTGTGTCAAATAATCAAAGTCGATGTTTGGGACGCAAGAACAAATAAACCCGGCTGCATTTTCTCATGCTTAAAAAATTATTTGGGTTACAGAATTAACCCTCTGAGGTCCTTCCAGGAAAACTCACTTCAGACCCAATAGAAGAAAAAATGCTCTAAAAATCATTTTTGTTTCGCTTTTATTTATTTTAACAAATAACATAAAATACAGCAACATCTGGATGCTAGCATCTTATGGTGGCTTATAAAAGTGTACAAATTAAAATTTTTATTTTTCTGATGGAAATATGGAAACCATTTTGAAACATTTCAAATTTTTTCCAAACATAACATGACATTTATCCTGTATTTGAAAAAACAAAGATATTGCCAAATAATAGTGGATAAGGAAAAGTGTGTTTTGTCTATTTTTCTGCAAAAATACTTTTAACTCATTTTGTCTGATTAAATTTAGTCAAAGGAGATTTTAGAGAAACTTTGAGGGCTGAAGGTTTAAGAGTTTCACTCAAAGAAGGAAGGACACAAAAAAGACAGAAACAAAACTAGTTTCTCGTTAATGAGATGTTGGATCCCAATGAGAAAACCTGTATAAATAAAGGTGAAATAAAAAAAGGAATGAAGGAAATATATAAAAAATAAGAAGAACAAAGGAGGGAAAGAAAGGAAACAGGAAAAAGTGTGAAAGAAGGAAGGAAGGAAGGAAGGAAGGAAGGATGGAAGGAAACATAAAATGAACCCAGGAAAACAGAAAGGTACAAAAGAAAAGAAAAATGCACGAGAACAAAGGAGTAAAATAAGGACAAATGAAAGGAAAGAAGAATGGGAGGAAAGACAGAAAGATCAAGAAAAAAGGAAGGAAGGAAAGAAGGACACAAAAGACAAAAAATAAAGGAAGGAAGAAAACACAGAAGGAAATCAGGAGGCGTTCAAATACTAGCAAAGTTCAGAGTAAATCTGACAAATAAAATGTTTTATTTTCTAGTTTTTGGCTTCCCCGCCCCTTTCTAATACCGCCCTGGGCATCTGCCCTCACTGACCCGATGAAAAGCCGCCAATCTTTTTAAATCAGAATGTTTCTCTTTGGTTTCTCCAGTTCATATTTTTTTCAATATGTAAATAATAATCAGCCTCCAGAAAACCTGGAAGAAACGTGACACAGAGAGAAAATATTTGTCTTTTTAAAACATAATCACAATTTAATCACTTTGTCTTGAAACGTCATTACATTAATTTAACATTGAACACACTGAACAGCTCCACTGGGAATCCAGAAACATATTGGATGGACGTGAAGAGCATAAATTTAGTGCAAATGGTTTATAGAGTCAATAAATACAACACAACAGATAGACAGACATCACTCTGAACGGGTCGATCCTTCTTCAGGGGATCAATGGAAACAGAAAAAAGCTTTCACTTCACAGAACAACCACATGGGGTGCCACAGATGATTTTTCCACATTTAGCATCAAACGTACACCAGAAATACTAACGGTTCTGACGCAATGCTGCCCCCTAGTGGCAGATCAAGGTCACAGCAGCTACCTGCAGAGTTCAGTCAGTGGGTTTGGACATGCGGCATGCAGCGGGACGCGGCGGACGGGCCAGGCTGATGTCGCGTCCTGGAGGAGGACGGGAAGCGGGGCGAGGTTCGGCACAAACGACCCACAGAAGGCACTTAGCAGGCGGGGAAATCTGTGTGTGTCTGTGAGGCGGATAAAGCAGCTAAAAGCAGAACAAAATGTCACAATTTCACATCTTAATCCTCCCTTTTTGTTTTTTTGTTGTTTGGTTTGCAGAATGTGAGCCTTTAAAAGACTGCACTGCAAAAACATTTTACCAAAAGTTTTGGTCAAGTTTCTGGTGCAAATACCTTAGTAAAGATGAAATAAAACAAAACTAACTTAAAAAAATGTTAGACCTTGTTTTAAGTAAATAATTCCTTAATATTGATTTAAAAAAATACATTTTTATCAATATTAAGTAATTAATAACTTAAAATAAGCTCCAATATCTTGTTGAAAAGTTACTTATAATTTGTTCTTAAGATATTAAAACAACACTAAAATTACTAAGACTATGTTTTTGCAGTGCAGATTGAAGCTTGAATTTCTAAATTATGCCAACATCTTGTCAGTTGAAGAAGGAAATCCACAGAACAGGGATTAAATAAAATAAAATAAACGTCTGAACATCAGATCACAGCATGCTGAATCCTTAATGAGACATTTCAAAACACCAAACGAGTCTGACAGGGACACGCGACACCTTCACATGAACAGTGGATGCAGACTTTATGGTGCATTTAATATAATATTGCTCATATTCCAGCAGTTTGCAGATGGTATTCCTCAGCAGTGGAGCACATAAACACAGAAGTGATGTCGAACTGGAAGGAAACCGGCGCTGATCCCCGACTCACTCTGCCGCCATCTTCTCGATATGGTCGCTCAGCAGCTGGTATTGCTCTGTAGGTGGAAACAAAACATGCATTTTCTTTTAACTCTTCAGACAAAAAAAGATTATTAAAGTTCTGCATGGGTGAAAAGTAAAAAGATGGGCAAAGAAAAGCAGGAAGACGTACAAATGAATGTTAAAATAGGAAGGAAGCCAGAGAAAACAGCTGAAAGAAAAAGTAGAGCTGGGCTTATATGACCTAAAAAGGTCCAATTTTAATCTAGTTTCTTTTTTTTTTACTTTGGTTTCTAAAAAAGAAATGACAAAAGACAGAAAACATTTCCAAAGAGAGGCTTTTCTTCCAATCATCCATTCTGTCCAAATAATTGATTAATTACGAGAATATAGTCATAATTTAGGCAGAATCTTACTGGTGCATCTTAAAATTATGAGATGAAAAAGTAATTTTAATAAGGAAAATATCTGATGTTTAATTATTTGTAATTTTTTGTGTTGAACATCATAAAATTTGTATTTTATTCTCCCAATGTTTCTCCTTCTTTCAGACTATATTAAGACTTTATTCTTCTATTATGTCGACTTCATTTTTTCTCTTATTAGTATTATTCTTGTAACATTATAATTATTCGTGTTATTTTTTTTTTAATCTAAGCCTGACTATGACACTTCGTCGCACAGTTGACCTGAATTTAAAGTCCAAATGGATAGAAACAAGATGGCCGCCCTGGGCGCCATCTTGCTTGGGCGCCATCACTCCGAACTACGGAAACCTACTTGATTAAACAGAATAATCAATAGAATCATTACTGAATAAAATAAAAAAATTATAATAACTAATTAGTTAAATGGATAACAATAAAATAAAAACAAACAGACAAACAAAAATAATATAAATAATTACTAAAACAGTTGTCAGCTGTAGCCCTAGTTGAAATCAAAGTCCAGATCTGTGCAGAAATAAATGATAGAAGCTGCTGAGTCATGTAAAAAAAAAAAGAGCTAGTGGCGCTGGACCTTCGTTCAGGTTCCCGATGACGGCCTGCTTCTTCAGGAAGTCGTTGCAGAGCTTTTTACTCAGACCGAACGCCAGCATGTTGTGGGTGAAAGTCCTGAAAACACAAACGGTCAGAACACACATGCTGCAAAAGCAACTTCAGTCTGAATGAAGTTTCAATACTTTGGTTAAAGTTTACAAAAGCTCATCTTTAGTCTCACTCCAATGTTACTGAGATATTTGCACTAGAATCTAAACTCTGGAAGGTTTTGTGTTTTTGCAGCGTTCCTCACCCCAGCTGGCCAAAAGTGATGTTTTCATCGATTTTCAAGCTTTCTTCTCTCTCCTTCAGGGTCAAGTGATGCCACTTCTCCCTGCAGATCACAGAGCCGCAATCAGCTTCGACCTCTGACCTCTGACCGGCCCTTTCGGCTTTGCCACGGCAACAGGTCAGGGCTGGGTGTCAAAGCAGCACCAAATGACGGAGCGCTGCCTGTGCAGGCGGTGGCGTGAGCGCCGAGCAACAGGATGTTTGACACGTTGCAAACAAAAAAACACAACTCAGAAATGGAGCTTCAGACGTTAACAATGACGTCCAACCCTGGAACTGTAAACTGCTGCGGTTGTTACACGTGAAATGAGTCAGCAGCAGCAGCAGCACAACAAATGATTCCTCCACCCAGAATCATCCGTCACAAGCAGATGAGGAGCAAAAACTGAAAACAGCAGCAGGAAAGGTTTTCATGCCTGCACACAGCAACAGCAGAGACATGAAACGTTGCTACAACGCAGATCAGTCACAAAAATAATAGGGTGCAATGAGATACGGGATTGGTGAACGATAACTGCTCCACACATCTGCTACTTTCCAGCAGAAACAACAATCAAAGTTTCAGCAGGTCACAGAAAGCTGCACTTTATCCGACTGAAATTACTTTTTAATACTTGTTATAGTTTCTGCACAATTGCAGCTTAACTTTGATGATTTCTTTTCAGATTTCCCTGATAATGCCTCACACACTAGATTCCAACCCTGTAAATTATTCAGAAAAATTTTATTTCATCTCCACATATTCATGTTACACATAAAATTGTAGGGATCAGCTTTCATCTAGTGTCACCCAGAACTACAGACTTTAAAGTTTTCTGACAAATAAGCCCAGCATGAGGAGAAAACACGTCCAAACTCTCATTTACTCCCTTTATATTTCAGCTTGGCTCTTTTACCTCATGCAACTTTTGGTCAAAACTCATAAAAATTTACATGTGTGGCCACCAGAGGGTCCTGCCAGCCACAATTAAATCATTTTATATAAATTATAATTTTTTTAGCCCAAAAATACAAAACCAATCCCATAAAATCATGCATTGTATGCCTGCCTTATGATAGTGCAAGACCTTTTTACTTTTCCTTTACTTCTGGGCCATTGCAATAAAAAGGTACAAAAAATATATACAATTTTTTTTTCTAAAAATAAATAAATCTATATTTTGTGATTCCACAAGTGCCTTTCCTAAATGCCACAGCTGGAAAATTCAAAGCTGTTGCATGTTTTGACCTTTAAGAACTGAAACAGATGTGATTTGATTTCCTCAAGGCAATTATGGAAAATGTAGAGCACAAAATCGCTTTAGCTGCTTGATGATTTAGACCAAAAATGCAAAATAAATCAAGTAAATCTTCAGCTTTTTATTATGTTTCTTGTTTAGAAAAGCTGGAACCTACATTTCGATCAAATAATCTGCTTTAATCCCAACATTACATCAGTCCAGATGGTGGACATTTCCTGCAGAGCAAAGCAGAGGCGAGCAGAAGGAGCATGCAGATGGAGAGGACGTCTCGTTTTCAGGCAGATCGTTGGTGTGAACATGCAGTGAGCTGTGAAGGAGCGAAGAGCACCTTCAGAGTCGACTGCTCCCCATTAGAATACATTTATCGCTGCAGTCATTTGTCTGTGCACGCTGTGGCTGCGATGCGTTTGCTCACCAGGGGGCGACACAAGAATCACGAAGGCAGCGAGACAACAGCATGCCAAGAGACGAAGACGGCACAGAAACATCGAAAGCAAAACTACAGACTGCTAAACAAACCTTAAAATACGAAATCTGGTTAAAACAAGAACGACATGTTGATCTCCGATTAAAATATTTAATTTGTGTCTCCTATCTGCTCTCATTTTGTCCCTCTCAGAATCTGTCCAGATGTTTAACTATTGATGCACAAATGCGAGATCCTAACGATTAACCTTCATAACAATCCAGTTATTTCTGACTCAATCCTCTAAAAAAGGCCCAAACTCCACAGAGTCAAACAAACCTGTGGGGGGCGCTGCACCAAGAACCACTGAAGGAAACGGCATGAAAGCCTCTAAAGAAGATGCTTAGTGCAATGTAATTGTATTTACCCAGAATGCCCTGCGTTGTAGCCTGTTTCCTGCTTTTGGAGCGGTCTCCGGTCGACGCCAAAGTTTATTTAGATCGAACTGAGACCGAGGTTTGTTGGTGAACCAGATCGCTTTTATGGTTTGCATCAGAGTTCGATTGCAGGTTCAGACCTCCCCAAACAAACCGGACTTTCAAGACAAGTGAACTGGAGTTGGATTAAGGCGGACTAAACGAGGCTGGTGTGAATGCAGCCTAAATGAAGGACTCCGTAGTGAAGCACGGTGGTGGGAGCTGTTTTTTAAAGGTTTTGTTGGCTCTTATCCGAAAGTAGCGAGACAGGAAAGACACACCAAATGTTGGGAATCTGCCTACTGAAATCTAACATTTCTCTCATTTATGCCTTCGTTAGAGCCTAAAGGAAGGACAGACCTCTTGTCTTTCTCTGCATCCTGCGCTCCACTGCCCGGTAGCAAGGCACAAGGAAACAAAGAGTCACAGTCAACAAGCAGAAAGAGTCAGAAACAGCGTTTTAGTCAGAGGCAGAGACAGAAGACAAAAAGGCGTCACTCCAGACTCTCAAAACTTCCTCAAACAGAGTCAGAAACGTTTCCACGCTTCTCGTCCTGACTCACCTGGTGGTCGGAGATCTCTTCGTCCGCTCACAGTGGACGGCGTCGAAGAACGCCGCGTTCCAGAACCTCAGCGTGTGCCTGCAACCGAGGAGCGTTCACACGTTTTCCTTCCGCCACAGCAACAGCAGGAGCTCCACTCGCAATAATCAGTCAACCAATTAATCAATTCATCGCTGCAGGATAAACTAAAACAATTGTTTCCATTCTTATGATTTATCGTTTTTCTCTTTTTCTACCAAAAGCTGGGATAAATGAAATAATTTTAGCAACTCCAGCTAAACTAAAACAACAGAAGTTTAGTCTGATTTAACTTCAGAAGGCAAGAAACATTTTTTTTTTCATTTTGTTGGATGTATGAAAATATCTGGTTTCAATTTTCCAAATTTGGGTTTTTAATCAAGCGTTACGTTGCACCTTATTACAAAACTGCAGTTTGAGTATCAAGGACTTTATGCAGAATTTAAGCACTTTCCAGACCTTGAAAAAAAAACACCTGATTGAAATTCAATGATTTTCAAGGAAAAGTACGAATCCTGTTTTTGTATAAACATTTTGTTCCTTCTCACCAGATGGGCTGCTGTTTCAGGTGAGTGTACAGATAAATCTTTTCTCCCTTCTTCTCTTCTGGAGCCTCTGATCCTGGAAAAAATTCATTAAAAACAGAGTTTATTTTTATATTTATTTATTAACTAAAAGTGAAGAATGTAAACTGATTTCTGTTGCATTTTACCTGGTGACTTGGGTTTCATTTCAACGGAGCCTTCGCTGTCATGAGAAATTGCAGGAATGCAGATGCATGAGAAAGTTTTAATGGAATGAGCTTGAAAGCAGACGTGTTGCTGTCACTCACTCAGACCTGGGAGCCATTGAGCTCCTCAGTTTGCTCTCCAGGCCTCCGAAGAAGCCTTTGACGTCAGTTTTGGATGTGTTTTTCAGAAGGCGCTCTGCAGCGTCTTTCTTCCCCGACAGCCAGGAGTTCGCCTTGTTCAGGTACGAGTCCAGGCCTGCCTGCGGGTTACCGCGGTCCAGCAGGTCGGAGGGAGACGGCGGGCACTTTCCTGCACAGGAGGCATGCGGACAGACTTCAGTCGTTACCGAAACGATCGGAGAAAATACATCTATTCTATTGGCTGTTTGCACATGACATCACTTCACGTGCAAACAGGCAGCCGGTAAGCAGCGTAATGTCACTTTTATTTTGTTGATTTCAATTTAAAAACGGTCACAAGGTGCTTCATGGTCGGCTGCATAAACAGACAAGGATAGAAACAAACTTGTAATTTTATTTTATAAGTTTTAACAGGAAAAGGATAACAGCCACCAATAATGATGATTATTGCTCATATACTTTATAAGTAAGAATAATTGGAAAGATTTCAGATATTGCTTTGTGGAGAAGGTTCGTCTCCAATCCTTAGTGACCGTGGTTTGAGGTCAGTACTGGTCTTATATGAATAAGAAAGAAAAAATACAGCAAATACTGGGAGGATATTTCTGCTTTTTAAGATGTAACTCTGTATTGCTGACTGAAAAAATTCTCAACAAAAGCTTTGAGGATTTACCATCAGCTGTCTGTGGTTTGGTTTCTGCAGACAGGTTCACCTCACGGGTCATTACAGAACAGCAGCTCAACAGTATTTGGCAACACTCAGACCAGCTGCAGCTCAGTGGGCAGGAAATGAAAACAGTTTTTAATCCATCAGCTCAAAGAGCCTTTAAACAAACAGCCGGCTGCTTTTCTTTGGATCGGGTTTCGTTCTTGTTCTCGTGCGTCTGAGCGAAGCTTCCTGCTGCAGGTTCACCACCGGATGAAGCAGAAACGCCTGGGTGGAGCAACCTGGAGAGTCAGCTGCGTGTTGATGCAATGCTGTGTGTCGCTAGTGCACTAATCACACAAGGCCTCCTGCTTGCATAAGCAGAAATGTGGCTTTTGGTGTTGCTGCAAGACAGCAAACCAGAGGTGGTAATCGTCTGAATCAGCACAGACTGATGCAAACATCTCAACACAGTTTGAGACGCAGCCATCTTTAATTTGCCGAGATCATTTAGATGAGGGGTGTCCAAACTGTGGCGCCGGGGCCATTTGTGGACCTTGGTGTGATTTTAGTCATTCAAGATTGATACAAATTTGTCCTGTGCAATAAAGGTGTTAATGCAAACTTTGTATTTTTAATCAGGGTGAAATTGTAACCATTATTTTTATATAATAGAAAAATATATAAAACTTAATTTTATATAATTCTTTTATATAACAAAGTATGTGTCTTTTTATAACCACTTTTTAAATGATAAGTAGAAACTTATCAGTTTACTGAAAAGTTGCTAAATCAAATTTCACTGAATTTATAAAACTTGGTGAAATATAAGAATCACTTTGACTCAAATATTTTTCATATTACAGAATAAATTTGTTCAATCAAACCCAACCAGAATAAACTTCTTTTAATTTTAGGTTTTGGCTCTACAATGAATTACAAACAACAAAATCAAACAACTTTAATTGCTTGATCTTATTTTAAACTTTCCAATTTTTTTTTTCTTATTTTAAAAACTTTTTGGGCCCAGAAGTTTATTTGACTTGTCGAGTTTGGCCTGCATGACTGAGTGATCAAATTATTGATTAACATTTAAAAATTACATCATCAGAGAGACCAAAACATAAAGTTAAGTGGAAAATTAAATGTATTTAAAGGTAAAAAAGAAAACAATTTATACATGTAACAAAGAACTAAAATAATTTTTTCCAAATCAGTTTCTTTTAATGAGAAACTAACAAAAACTGCGACTGTGTGTCTGTCTGGTGAATTATTGGATAAAACTTTAGTGGGTAGAAAATCCAGAAATATTACTAAGTAAGAGTAAAAACACTTCAAAATAAAATTACTCAAGTAAAAGAAAAAGTACAGCGTCGTATAAGTACTCCTAGAAGTAAATTTGTTTTCCAAAAAGTTACTCAAGTAAATGTAACTGAGTAGATGTAACCAGTCGTAAAAGAAACAAAGATGGTGGCGGTTACGTCTCTGAACAGGATTCAGAGTCCGGTGTGGGATGAAAAATACTCTATGTGGTTCTGTTTAGAAATATGGAATCACGTAACGTTCCGAGTTACATAAGTTAAGTTTCACATTAACCTAAATTAAGGTGAAAGGTGTTTTTTTGGGGAGTGTTTGTAATTAAACTGACAGAAACTTTTAAAAAGTGACAAATATGTTAGTAATACATCATCAGAAAGGAGGAGCGTTTGCAGGTGGAAGCAGATCTTACCGATGTAGTAATATGTGAAGCACATGGTCATGAGGTTTTTCGCCGGGCTGTAGTCGTCCATCTGGTAACATCTGTAAAAACAGACGTTTTTATAAATGTTCTGCTCTGGAGCCGCAATATCTCATCTCATGTAAACCAAACAAGGCAGGAAAACTGTTTAACTGCTGAGTAATTCAGTAGAAACACTGAATTTTTCAGATTATTTTAAATCAGAATCAGGTCTTCCTCGCCGTTTTGAAGAAACCACTTTGTTTTCCCCCATCAGGACTCATCGATCATTCTGAGGCATCTCAGCAGAAGCAGGTTATTACACCACTTGCTTCATCATTTCCTGTCAAACTCGGTGAAAACGCGTTGAATCCAGACATACTCACTCGAACAGAACAACGGCAAATGACTGGACCAGCCTGTAGAACGTGGCTTCGCTCACACATTTGGAGTGGCAGCGCTGCAAAAGCAGAATAACCGAGAAATAACCTTCAAAGGCGTCATTTCACCCAAAAACATTAACAACTAAACTTTTTAAGGCTGTGATTGAGGTCCAGCTAAATAAAAAAACAATGTTTCTCCATTTTCAGAAACGCAGATTATTATGGTGAAGATAACTGAAAACAAAATCTGTAGGAATTTGGATGATTGCTGCCTTAAAATTGAACATATGCAACGTTTTCACTTGCAAACGCATCAATAATTTGTATTTATTTTAAATAGGTTTATTTAAAACCTATTTAAAACAAATAGGTTTTAAAATACCTAATTGCTCATAGCAATTAGCTAGATGTACTTTTTTTAAATGCAATTTTGGCTACAGAGACTTTAGAATCTATTTTAATTATTGATGTTTCAGTTGTTTGGTTTATTTTCATTTTCAATATTTAAAATCTTTTTCAGTTTCACTGTTAAATATTATTAAGAAGCTCAATTCTGAGATGGTGTATTTGCATTCATATTCCATTATTACGTTTATATTAGTTGAAAATAGTCTCAAAATGACAATATTATCATTTAATTGCAATCTTATTGTTAAGCTTATCAGTAAAAAAAAAACCCTTAAAACTCATTTCCTAAAAATGGATAGTAAATGATCACTGCCTCAGAAAATGCTGAGTCACTGTAAGACTTAACTTTCTATAAGATGACTTGATTTTAAATGATTTGTGTGGGACGGCTGAACCACGCAGCTTTAAACAGGCTGGGTTTCACCAACATCACATTTTGTTGATGTGTTTTTAAGAAGAAATGTAAATTTTTCACTTTAAAAGGTCACAGCACATTCCCAAAATGAGTTTTACTGGCACTGTTAGAAAAGTTTAGGGGGAAACAGACAAAAATAAATACAAGATAAAGAAACAATTTTTTATTTTTATTTTCTAGTCTTAAGGTAAAACCAATTTGTGACTAAACATAATAATTAAATACCTTGTGAAGAAATATTCTTCTCTAAAATAAAAAAGCTGTTTTGTCTCTGAAAACTGTCTCTTCAGTGATGGTGTCTTACTTTTAGGCGGACGCCATGACGTCTGGACGCACTCACCTGGGCGCTGACGTATTTGGCAAACCATTCCCTGCCTTTTCCGTTCTCTCCGCTGCACAGCTCTCCAAACCGCGCCTTCTCTTCCTGGTCAAAGTCCTCTCTGCAAAACAAACAGCTCTGCTGCAATTCATCAAATCTGTGGGAAACATTTGGTGTGGCTCGTTTCCACTCACACCCCCACAAACACCTGCTTTCTCACCCCACAGTGGGTCTGATAATTTCCAAAATTCAACATTGTGCAGGGCAGTACTGTAATTTTAAATCCTCTTTTTCAGATTCTGCAAAAATATGCAGAGAATTTGTGCTTGTTTCTGACTAATAAAAATGAAGCAGGTCAATCTGATGATGTTGATGCATGTAATCCTTAAAGACTGGCTGGGTGGTGAGCGCAGCAGACCAGCAGGTCACTGGGTTTGGTCCACAGATGATTATTAATCTGGTCAGGACTGGAAGGAAAAGCAGCAGAAAACGAAAAGGAAAAGTCTGAAATACGAAACAAAATGTGACGTGGTATTTGGAGAAGCTCGTTTCAGCTCTTCACCCTGACAGTCGTCGCCCGGGGGATCAGATGGCGTGTCATGAGTTTTTAAAGAGACTCGATGTTTCTGGTTATTGTGGGAGATAAAACGAGGACAAGGAAGCAGGCAAAAGCAGAGAAGACGTTCCGAGAAATCCTCCTGTTGGCTTTTATTAGTATCTGTATCGATGCCGATACTGAAAACAATTATAGATTAATTATTAGTGACAATGCACCGGATCCATAATGACAGATCTATTCAGTCTATTTCTGTGCTTTGTGCTCTGAGCACTTTATTATTTATTTTACATTACATTCAGGATTCTCTAATTACACTTTCTGAGCCATTTTAAAGGTTTATTGTAAGTTTTTTTTACATTTGACTGAGGTAGTCAGCATATTGGTGAATTGTTTTCACATTTTTGTGAGCGGTTGTTATATCCGAGTGTCCTGTAATGTTACAGAGATAGCAAATAAATTTGTAATTCACGTAATTATGTCTGTGTTTAAAAAAAAAACCCCAAAAACCTTCTGCTCTGTTTTTCTAAATTGGATTGGATGTTGGCTGATAGGAAATCTCAGATACCTGCATCGGTACTGGAAGTGAAAAAAGTGGATCCCAACCGGTTACACCAGTTCTTTCAGGAGAAATCAGACAAAATTCCAGGAAACTATTTCGAGAAGAAACATAAAACATTTGACTCAAACATTGCTGGGCTGTTTTGAGGCAACAGATCGGATTGCTCTTTGCCAGCCTCATGGATCTCATTTATTTCATTCATTTTCCTTGGGAATCATTAAGATATTTTGATACAAAAACTAAACGTGGAAAAAGTGGAAGTTTACATCCAGTAAACAATATTTCCAACATCCAGCTCATTAACCAGTTTCGTTACCCCGAGATATCGCTATGTGTAATTTTATGTCAAAAGGTGAAGTATGGAATAAAGGTTGTTGTTCCCTACTTTCCATCAAACACCTTCTCCACACAGATGGTCATTAACTGTCTCATTTCTGTTATTTGGGCATCTGCGTCCTCGATGGCTCACAGTGGCGAGGACGCAGAGGAATGGGTCAAAATTTCATTAAACTATCGTGAAAAGCTTGTGGACAGAAACTTAAAATATTTGACTCAAACCCTATGGGGCTGATTTGAGGCTACGGATCGGATTGCTCTTTGCCAGTCACATGGATCTTACTTGTTTCGTTAATTTTTCTTAGGGATCAATAAGATATTTTGATTAAAATAAAATACAGCTCTTCTTGTAAAATTTGGACCATAGATCCAACGTCAGCTTCGTTTCCCCAGGATAACATTCTGTCGCTTTAATGATGTCAGAAGGTGAGATATGGAGTAAAGGTCGCGATTCCTTACTTTCCGTGAAACACCTTCTCCACGTAGGCCTTCATGAACTGCCTCCTCTCTATCGTCTCGGCGTCTGCGTCCTCGCCACTATAAACCGACGAGGACGATGAGCGCCTCAGTTCCCAGTCAAGAGACGGCGGGTCCATGTCGTTCTCGCTGTCCGCAGACTCTGTGGCGTCGCTGTCCTCGTTGTGTCCATCCGCACGCTGGGAGCCGGATTTGATTGGAGCCAGGGGTTCTGGTAGGTGATGAGACGAGGCCGATGACGGCTGATCAAAGTCTATCAGGTTGTCCATGTTGGAGGTTTGTCTCTTTGTATGAAGTCAGAAAGTCGTTTTTATAGAAACATGTGGATGGAGGACCAGCTGGGGCTTCAGCTGAGGGGAACCTTCTCACTCGGGCTGGACGGTCCTCTCGCTGCCTGAGGACTCCAACCTCAAGTTATGGAACAAACGCATCTGTGGACAAAACGAAGGTAATCAGCACAAACGTTTCAAGAGGCAACTTAAATCTCTGCCCGGACACATGGACCGATCAGCAAACAAAGACTCAACAAATGAACCGTAAAACTGAAAAATCTCCAACTGTTTGATCTGCAGAAACCAGCTGGGAAGTCCAGACATCACCTGAAGTTACTGAAACATTTATCTATGGTTTCTGCCAGAAGCAGACGACTGAAATGGTAAAAGGTTTCTGCACATCTGCAAGATGAATTCTGGATGTTTGGTTGATATAAACAAAATATTTCAGCAAGAACTCAAAGAAAAACACAAACTGGCAGAAATTCATTTATCACCCATTTCTCTTCTTTTCTTCTTCCATTGCCTTCCTTATTTCCATTATTTCTTTTTTTTAATTTGTTCTTTCACTCCTCCCTTATTGCCCCCATCATGTTTTGGTCTCTAATTCCTCCTGCTCCCTTTAGTCATTCTAGGATTCCCTCTTTTGTTTGTTTCTTTCATTGTTTTAGTTTCTGTCTTTGCTTTATTACTGGCGAGTTTTTCTTCAACCGTTTGTTAGTGTCTGTTGATTTCTTCCTTTGTCAGTTTTTGTTTTTTTCTTTGTCAGTTATTTTTATAGTTTGTTTCTTTGTCAGTTTGTTGGTGTCTTTGTTTGTGTCTCAGGTTTGTTTCTAATTCCTTTGTTTTCTTCCTTCCAACATGAATTTTTTTTGTAAATTTGCTTCAATTCAATCAATTCCATTCAAAATTACTTTATTCATCCCAAAGGGAAATCAAATGCTGATAAAACTCATCATCCAAGCATCTCTACAGTCGCTGTGGGCAGGAAGGATCTCCAGTAGCAGTCAGTGTTGAAGCCTCTGACTGAAGACCATTTCTTCCCTCATCTCTTGTTCCTTTCTTTTATTTTTGCCTCCTGACTTTTAAAACAGCATCAATGGATCCTGGAAGAAACTACATGACAAATGAAGGTTTATTAAAACGAATTTTCTTCCATCTATAAATAAAACTCTCATCTTAATAAAATTTAAAGACAGCATTCGTCTCGTAATGCTGTCAAAAGATTTAAAAAAAAAACAGAACAAGTTTTTATTAAGCTATGAAAGTAAAACTGTATTTTTTGTTGCACTTGAAATTTGTGCCGGTCAAAAATCAAAGAAGAAATAAAGGTTTTAAAACAGAAAAGATGGTTTTAAATCTGAACGTCGTAAAACTGAAACGTTGATGGTTCTGCTTTTCGTTAGAGATTTAAGAAGAAAAAAGAACAGGAAACAATTTACAGAATAAGCAAAGTCAGAGCAGTCAAATCTGAACTTCTGATCTGCGCAGCAGTTTTCTGCAGAGCTCAGGTTGAAGATAAAGCAGCAGCGTCACGGTTCCTCACTGGTCAGTGAAAAGAACCAAACTGAACCTTTTTATTGGCTCAACTAATCGGTTTTAGCTGTTCTTTAGTCCGCAGCTGTAATATCGTTACTCTGGATACAGACTGGAGCCGTGGGGTTTGTTTGAGCTGCAGGTCTGAGGATGATGTGGTTCCATTATTCACTGTAACATCCGGGGCAAAACACCCAGACAATCGGCAAAATAAAAAATAAAAAAAGATCAGCATGCTGGTGTGGAAATGTTTCTGCAGACGCAAATTCTGCATCGTCTCTTTTAATGATTAAACAGAATCACATTAATTAAAAAATATCTTAAAAAACTATTTCTTCTGTATTTCTGCGCTGAATGATGAGCTAAACTCCTGTCATCAGCCTGAACTGATCCGATCTGCAAACTGAGAGCAGATTTGTTGAAATCACGCCTCCTGGCCTCAGCAATGGCTTCCTGCCAAGAAAAGCTGCAGCATCAGCATTCTGCATCACATGCAGGAAACTACTGCTGAGAATATTGCATCACAAATAAGTTTTCTGGATCATCAAGAACTTCAGGTGCAGAGATCGAGCTGCAGAAATGAAGGTTCAAAAGCTGCTTCTCTCCAACAAAAACATCAAGAAGTGTCATAAAATGAGGCTTTAAAAATAAAACATTAAAACCGCATTTTGAAGCAATCAAGGCAAAATGTAATTAAATCCTTGAATGTGTTTTGGATTGTTTTGTTGAGGGTTCAGGGTTATGAGTCTGAAAATGACAAAAAGTTTGGCATTTATTGACCACAGTTTCAATTTAAATGTAAACAGAATGTGAAACATGATTTCTTTGAACATAAACATTATAACGTTATTATTTCTTTAAAAGAGCTACCTCCGCATTTTGTAATAATCAGTTGAAAGTGAAGTAATAGAAAGTATTGCAAAAATAATTGAAAGATTTATGAAATTAAAATGCAGTTTTACTGATGTTTCGTAGCATCTTGAGGCTCAATTTTGTTACATTATTAAATAATGCGGCATCACTGGGATGGTGCAAAAGTAATCCACCAGATGAATCCTCGTTGTTCCTGATTGTTTGGGAAAACCAAACGAGAACATGTGGTGAAAATGGAGAATCCCAAACTGTGTTTTGGTTTAAACTTCCTCCCACTTCTGCAGTTTTATGCAAGAACAGATTTCTGCAATCCAGGAAGGGTTTGGCGATGATGTGCGGCTGTTTCAACATGATGGACGAATGAGTCAAAGCAGAGGGTCAAAGGTCAGAACACTGAAGCAGACTGAGAACCAGTGGTCTGTTTTTGCAAAGCTGAACAAACTGGGATCATCTCCAAGATGGGTCTGGGCAATAAAAAGAGTTTATCAATTAATCTAATTGTTTTTTTCACCAATTGATTCTTTTGTTTAGTTTATCCTAGTGCTTAGTAGAAATAAGACAAAACTAACAAACTTTCCAGCAAAATATCTGAACCTTAATATATATTTTAAAACTGCTACTTATTGCCAATGGAACTGGTACTTTTTTAAAATCAATATTCAAGAATTAGTGACTTAAAACAAGCTTCTATGTCTTTCTGAAAAGATATAGAGTTAGTTGTAAGTTAGTTTTAGATATTTTCAAAGTCTTCAGTAGCATTTTGTGTTTTTGCAGGGCGAAAGTTATTCCTGTCATTTTTGTTCAGTTTTCACAGAATACCTTGTTTGAGTCATTGACATCAGCACTATGGACAGAAAACACATTCTCTGTCCATAACAAATACAACATTTTGAATTGGATGTCCGTTGTAGTTTGTTTTTATGCTGCCTTGTGATGACAGAAGAAACCAAACATCCAGTTGTTTTTCCTGTTTATGATTTTACAACAGTGCATTTTAAATTGCAAATGAGCCGTTTATGTAAATTCAGAGGGTTTCTTTTTGCATGTGGCCACTTTATGGTTGTATTTCCAGTTCCTCCAAGCAGCATCTGAGCTGTTTTTGTGCATTATAGTTTATCGCAATAACTACTGGGACAATTTATTGTCCAGCAACATACATTATAGAGACCGGTCTCTCCAGGATTTTCTGTCTTGTTGCAGACTGAATATAGATTTAAAGATGATGCAGAGGCAGAGAGAACATCAGGCCTGCAGTCAAACAGCTTTACTGAAGGTGTGAGACGCTGCTAGTCACGACTTTCCCCTCCACACTCCAGCCCGATGGCTGCAGAGCTCCTGCTCAGCAGTCAGTCGTGATTTCCTGCTGAGGAGGGACAGCAGCACCAGAATCACCTGCTGCCTGCGTTCCTTCCTTCCTCCCCGCTGCACAGCAACGCTGACTGGAAACGCTGCGGCGTTTCTGCTTCCATGAGCAGAAACAGGAGCTTCCCATCCCCCCCGTCAACATGATCAGACGCACAGCGACAGCGACGGCCGCCCCGTTTCTCCTGACAAGCTTGAGTGATGCTTCAGGGATCGTCAGACCTGCACTGGATCATCGCAAGTCTCTAAAAACCAGCAGGAAACATTTAAACAGGAGCACACTGCAAAAACACAAAATCCAACCAAGAGTATTTAAGTTACCTTTAGAATTAATAAGGTATTTTTGAATTAGAATTAAATTGGGAAGTATTTTTGCCTAGTTAATTGTGCAAATATGTTGTAATTGGATTAGGACAAAATCAACTTGCAAGTAACTTTTCAGAAGCCTGTTTGAGTAAATAAAAAAAGTAATTCTACTGGCAGATTATTTTACTTATAACAACAAGGCCGGCCACAATAACAAATGTTGCTAGACAATAAAATGTCCCAGAATTTATTGCGATAAAATTGATGTTTGGAGACAATTTCCAAGTAATACAATGGTAATGGCCTAATAATTATGTAAGAGCAAAATCTTTCAGTGGAACAAGTACTTTTTCATCAATACTAAGGAATTATTTATTTAAAACAGGCTCTTATATCTTGCTGAAAAGTTACTTGTAAGTTAGTTCAAGTGTACTAAGAAATTTGCATTAATCTCTTAGTACTAAAAAATATTTAGTAGGATTTTGTTTTTGCATGCAGAGCCCAGCAGCTCTGCACCCTTTGCATTTATCTCTGTCACCTCAGATTTACGAACCATATGCAGCAAATGCAGTGCATGATGGGATATCGCTTCAGCGTAGCTGCGCTGTCCCTTTCCCGGAGTCATGGCTGAACAAAGCTCATCCTCAGGAGAGCAGGAACCGATCCCCAGCTCAGGACTTCCTGACCCACAATCCTTCAGTGTCCTTCTGCAAACTGATAGTTTTTAGAAAGCTCCCATTATGGCGTCTCCCAATCGCCGAAGCAGCACCAGTGAAAGCCGCCTTTCTTTGTAAAAGAGCATTTTCCTCTTTGCTTCTTGTTCACACCAAGACCTGACATGCGACACGTTTCTATTGTTTAACAAAATGGATCTATTCAGGCCTGTCCAACAATAGCAACACGCATCTTTACATTGATCCAGAAGATTTCTAAGAATTTCAATAATCTTTTCCACAACAGAATCAAATGCAACAACTGAATGCAATGCCAAGCTAGAAAGTCCATGTTCAACGTTTTCAGTCTAAATCACCCAATTCTGACCTTTTCACCCCCTAAAATTACATTTGCTTTCAAAGCGTCTGCAGTCTGAACGGTCATGTCCACCAGCAACTTTTTCACTTATAAGACATTTTTCCATGTTATAAGTGAAATAATCTGCCAATGAAAAGTGAAATAATAGAATGTAAATTAGTTTTGTGTCATTTCAAGTGAACTAAGATTTTTACACTAGAAACTAGACAAAAAATACCTGTGTATATATTGTATTTTGTGTTTTTGCAGTGCAGTGATGTGAAGGGAAGCTGTTGGTGTTGCAATGTGAGGAATGTTGAGTCCAGGATGAACCGCACCAGGACGTGTTTGGCTGATTATCGCCGCCTCTCGCTGGCGGTGATAACTTTTTATCAGCTCCTTTTGCCGGTGAGTGGGAGCGACATTTCTCTGAGACACCTCTGCGTTACTGTCAGCTGAAATACGATCAAAGGCTCAGACTGCAGAGATCCACGCAAACACTCCTGGTTTACTGCAGCTCAAATGGATTCACTCCGATTCTGTTGTGCAATTAGACTTTAAGTCAAACGTGGAGCTGAAGCAAAAAAAGGAGAAGTGTTTGACGGCATATGAGTTATTGCTTGAGTTTAGAAACTTATACAGCTCTGAAAAAAATGAAGAGCCCATTGTAAAGCTCCTAGTTATTCCACCAAATATTGATTTCTGAACTATTCCTAAGTTAGAACATTAGTATTGTTGTTTCTAAATAAATATGAACTTGTTTTCTTTGCATTATTTGAGGTCTGAAAGCTCTGCATCTTTGGTAGATTATTTTACTTATAAAGTCTTGATATGAGTCAAATAATCTGCTAATGGAACTAGCACTAGTTTGTCAATTTTAAGGAATCATTTACTTAAAACAAGCTCCTATATCTTGCAGAAAAGATATTAGTAAGTTTTGTCTTATTTCAAGTGAACTAATAAAAACTAGACCAGAAATACTTGGTAAGATTTTGTGTTTTTGCAGTGCTATGAGGCTGTGCATGCTGGGAAAAATGCTAAGAGGAAATCATGCTCCATGTGCAAGTCAAGATAAGCAGTTTCTGCCAGTCAAGCCGGCAAAGTGCATTCCTAGAAACATGCCGGATGAATTCCTTACATGGCGGAAGGTTAACACAAACTTCCAAACCTGAGGAATCGGTCTACAGACTTTCTGAATGAAGAAAGAGACATTTTATTTAAAGTCTGTTTTGTTTTAGTCAAAATAAGTAAAAAAAAAATGCATCCATCTATTATCCGAACCTGCTTGTCCTTGCAGGGACACAGGCAGAAAGACGAACATAGAAACAGTACCACCAGCTACTTTTATGTTTAAATAAATTGATAAAGAAAAAAATTAAATAGTATTAAAAAAATGTTGCAAAAGTAATTATTTTGAACCACATATTTTCCAGCAGGCAGGTGAATTTTCATTGTGATTTCTGGTTATTTTCTATAAGCGCAACATGAAATTAAAATTACTCACAGAAAACATCCAGTCCACATCCCTTCTTACTTCACCATTTGCAGTCTTAATAAAATATATTAATTTGCTGGACAGAAATATAAACTGTTTCAAGTTAATCATCTATTGTTGATGCACATCCCCTCATTTTCTTGTGATGGTTGTCTTTGTTTTATGTTTTCAGATCAGAATTAGATTTCCACATTATTTCTGCATAACTTTACCACTTCTGCATAATATTTTCACCAAAATATGTACAAATTATTATCTGCCCAAGAGCCTAACCTCCAGTTGCACTCTGACTTCTGAACCACAGGAATAATACATTTAAAATATTTCTGTAATTTTCTACTCAAATTAAATGCACCTGCATGACTTAATACGAAGCCATGTGTAAAAACAAATTAACCCTATGTAAGAGAATGCAGTTCATAACGATTCGGCTTAGTTTGCAAAACACAAAATTGTTTGTGTTAAAATTGTTTATCCTAAACTAAACAATTTTAAAACCAATTCAATGAATGAAAAAAAGCAATGAAGTCCCAATCTGCTAAAATAAAACGAGCTTGGTGGAGGAAACACCAGCCGAACCCATCTGTTTATACAGACTGTTAAAATACAATGTTGAGTCTGGTGGTACCTGGACTGGATTTGGGTCAGAGAGCTACAAGAGCACAAATTGGAGCATTTCTGAATGAGGCTCGGTTCCTGCAGGAAGCGGCAGAGAGTAAACACAAACAGCTGACGTTTCCTGGAGAACCGAGTCGTGCTGTGACCACGGCATGTCCGTGGAGCCGTGTGCGGGGCCACGGGGGTCACCCAAGGAGACACGAAACCATAGCAACACAGAGCAGAGGTCAAGGAACCAGAACCGAACTCCTCTGTGACCCCAGGGCCGTTCAGACAGGATGAAACGTGACTTCCGGTGAACTAAACAGGAGGAATTCAAAATAAAACAACCGCGAGACAGACGGACAGCCGTACCTGAACGAACCGTCCCACGGAGTCCGGACACAACAGAAAACCCACTCTCCGTGTTTCTGCGGATCAACCTCCGCCACTGTGAGACTGTACTCTGCTGCGCATGCGCCAGTAGATGAGAGGACGAAGACAGGGGGGGGGGGGAACCCAATGACGTCAGGAGGCGCCGCAGCCAATCAGCGCTGCGAAAGCGTAATCAACGGTATTTCTCTGTCAAAAAAATAACAAACGGACCAAAATAATATACTTATCTTTAACCAGAGTATAAGCAACAAGCAAAAGACAATCGCAACAAAATAGGACGCAATTTAAAATATTTAGGTAATTCGATATAGATTCTGTTAAAATTTGACATGATTTTGTACAATATCTGTCTACATTTTACAATAAAAAGGTATCTGAAGAAGAGGAAAAAGGAGAAACCAGAAGATCCAGTCAATTTTAAACTAAGCAATAACTTAGAGTTTAAAAGGGAATTAAAAAATAGAATGATTCATGTCATAAAACAACTGGAATGTATGAAATCTGAATGAAATCTTCATGATGGTGAATTACCCGCCTTTGCCATCTTTCTGAGTGTTACATCCCCCAGGCAGTCTATGGGTATTGGAAGGCGGCTGTAACAATAAATAAACCAGGGAAAATCAAGAGACAAAACCAGGAGGGTAAAGTCAAACTTTTATTCTCTAAATAAATCTTAAAGGTGAAGATGAGAACCTAAAGGAAAAGAAACAGGAGAGTCACAACAAATCCTCTTTCACAACACCACAAAGCTGCAGCACACATGCTGCCCAATTGGCACTGATTAGCATAGCCTTATACTATGCTAATCAAGGGGTAGAGTGAAACCAGCTGGCCCTGCTTAACCTGCCGGTGCTCAGCAGCAACCTGACATGGGGGGAAATCCTACATGCAACCACCAATGCATGTAACACAGTTCATTTTTTTTCATCACCAATTGGAACTATTTTGGTAGCCACATTTTTAACCTTTCTTGACCAAACAATGTCAGTTTGAGGGCCACAAATGGCCCCCAAGCCACACTTTGGACATCCCTGTTTCATACCAATTGGAGCCTCCGTTTCTGACCTGGAAGTCACTATCAAGCTAATCGGCCAGTTTGAAAGAAACTTTGTGCAGAAACTTTCTTTGTGAATCAAGCAACTCTGATAAACATTATGTTTTATTCATGCATCCTGCTTTAATCTAATGTAGGAAAATAAGAGCGAAACAACAATTACATGACATGAATGAAGACATTTGATTTAATTACATCCAGTTTGAAAAAAAAAAACCAAACAAACAAACAAAAAAAGAGTCCAGATGTTGCAGGCAGTGATCAGCATTAACTGCATTATAAGTGTTATTACAAACCTGAACTAAAAATAAAACAACTCAATGCTCAGTTTGCAGCTTTAGGGGCTGCTGCTTCCATCTGCAGCAGCCTTTGAGGGAGGGTGGCAGTGACAAAATGGACCCTGTCCTTCTTCAGTTTCTGCTTCACAGACTGGGTCTGACCCAGCTCCATGTACTCCTGCTTCTGCCTGTCGTACAGCGGCCAGTTCACCAGACCAGCACCATTAGGAGAGCTGGGGACAAATATAAAGAAGGCAGACACAATAAACAATCTGGATAATTACATGTGAAACAATGAAGAAGCTTTCAAATGTATTGTTTTATTTTCTGCACAGCACACGGCTTTTCCTCCATTAAATGTGCAAATCTTCTTCCACTTCTTTTGATTGCTTAGGACGCCCTCTAGTGACTGTTGCGGGTACAGTTCACTACCAAAACCGCGCAGCTTTTTTCAGTTTGATGCGTTCATTGTGACGTCATATTATTAGGATCATTGAAGAAAGAGGTGTGGGGTGCAGGAATAAAAAAACTCAACAAATTTGGAGATAAATCAGAAAAATTTTCTAGAAAAAAACAATTAAGTTTTAAAAGTCTGAAATTTGCTAGAAAAAAAATCGGAAATTTTGAGAACAATCTTGGAGAAAGTCTATAAAATAAATAAATGGAAGTTTCTGTTTCAAAAATGTAACATTTTCCATTTTTGAAACTGCTGCGTTTCCAAGTTTTTTCCAGAAAATTAATGAGATTAATTCTAAAATTTGAGTTTTTCTTCTAGAATTTTTTTACTTATAAAACTAAGAAATTTTAAAGTTTTTTTTAAAAGAAAATTGCTATGATTAATCCAAAAATTTATCATTTTTTTCTAGCAAATTTTCGACTTTTCAAATTCCAAAACTTTCTTGATTTATCTAGAAAATTTAGATATATATATTTTTTTACTCATCTCAATCAAATAATTGAAGAAATATTCATAAATACTGAAATATTCATAAAGTATTAATGAAGTTGATGATCATCAGTTAAGTGGTCAGTTTTTTTTACACAAAACATGCACTGAAGCTGGAAAAGTCTGAATTTCTCAGCAAAATGCAAAAACAGTGCTTGTATATATCGATGTCCTCTTTATTGAGATTTAGTCTCAAAATCCAGCTGTATGCAAACCCCTGAGATAAAAATCTTTCTGCATGTTCAGAATTATTGATGTTGTTTATTTATTTGGCCAAATGTTCACTTCTTACCCAGTTCTTGCAAAATTGCCCCAGTAAGACATCATGGTCCTGGAAAACCTCTCATCCTCATCGGTGCAGTTGACTGCAGATGGAAAAAGAAGAGTTTCAACCACAGAATGAAGTCTGTTTTTCAGATAATTACTGCGTTAAGGGAACATTGGATTAACACAGTGATGTTTTCTTTCTCACTGCACTGTCAAACAATCCATGCCCTTTGAATAACCTGTTCTCCTCCTCACCTGTGGGGGCGCTGCTCCAAGAACCACTAAAGGACATGATACGAAAACCTCTGAAGAAGACACTGAGCGTAATTTTCTTCTTCACAAAATGTAAATGAAATTGAGTAGCGTCAGATTTTAGCTGTTGTAGGGTTTCTGTTTTGACTGCTAAAGACAACAAGCCATTTCTACCTCTAGCACTGGACTTGCATGTTTGTTTTAGTAGTATTTACCCAGAAATTACCCAGAATTCCCTGTGCTATAGTCTGTTTCCTGCTTCTGGAGCGCCTAGCGTTCACATATGTATTCAAACAGCATCAGAATTCACTTCAACCAAACCGAGATCGAAGTTAATAGGTGGATCAGAGATTGATTACTTATTTATCTCTCCCCAAAAGACTGACTTTCTAGAAAAACTGACTAGAGCTAGATTAAAGCAAATCAAACACGGCTGGTGGGAATGGATTTATATTCAAACTAATCCCAACTTGGACTCTGGTGCTCACTCCTGATTTTCCAGACATAATGAGTTGACTTACATTCCTAACATCTGCAGATATAATGTGGCACAGCAAGAACAATAACAACAATTGGAGGTAAGACTTCATTCTACACTGCAAAAACACAAAATCAGTTATTTACACTAGTTTTTAGTACACTTAATATAAGACAAATTTAATCAAGCTTTTAAGCTGTGTGAAGTAAATGATCTTCACACAGCTTAAAAGAAAACATTTTCCCCACGTCATAGTGAAATAATCTGACAGTGGAATTAGTACTTTTTCATCAATATTAAGGAATTATTTACTTCAAACACACTCCAATATCTTGCTGAAAAGTTATTTGTAAGTTTTTTTTCTTTCTCATTTCAAGTGCACTAAGTTATTTGTTCTAGAAATCAGACACCAACTGGAACTGAAGCACCCTGGAGGTACACTCGACTGAAAGACGTTTGACGTGGTGAGCGTCATTGGGAAGCTTGCATACCAACCATTAATTGTGATATGTCCGTTCCAGAAACATGCTCCGAACATGAAGCCGATGTCATCAGCGTGGTCCGCCTTCACAAAGCTCGGCCTGTTGGGTGTGGGTCTATCCGTAACGTACACAAACTCATACATGTACACCGGAGCGCCCGCGTCTGGAGCCAGGAGGGACAGGTGTGAGCAGAGATGCATACCAGAACACAGTGGGTCAGCCATCTTGTTTCTGACCTGTGTGGTATCCGGCCACCTTGATGGTGGGCAGCGCCATCAGCAGGTCTCCGATGGCCTCCGTGAAAGCGTTCCGGATGTCCTCTGGGGTTTTTGCGTCTTTCAGATACTCATCCGTGATGAGACTGTTGGCTGCGGAGGCGGCCTGAAACAGACACAGGTTCATAAATCAGTAAAAATCTCAGGCAAGGCCTGTTTCCATATTTAGAGTTCTTTTAGATGCCCCCATTTGGGGGTTACTATTTATAATGAGACATTTTCCAGTGTCATAGGTGAAATAATCTGACAGTGGACTAGGACTTTTTCATCAGTATTAAGGATTTATTATGAACTTAAAACAATCTCCTATATCTTGCTGGAAAGTTACGTGTAGACTGTTTTATACGGAAGAGGATTAGGGCCAATGAAAAACAGAAAAATTGTAACTTAAATCTCAGAATTCTGACGTTAATTTTCTGAGATCAAAAGTCAGAATAAAGTTAAAATTCTGAGATTAAAGTCAGAATTCTGAACACATAGTCTGAATTCTTTTCTCTTTTTTCAGTGGTCTTAATATAATTCAAGTTTACTAATATATTTGGAGTAGAAACTGACAAAATGTTCTAGTTGTTTATGAGTTTAGTCATCAAACTAAAAAAAATCTCTGATTCTAGCTTTATTGAAGCAGTTCTTATCATCTCACCCCTATAGGATTAAACAAGTTGACCACCGCCAGCACCGCCTCCCTGTTCATTCCTTTTTCCCAACCAGGAGGCGCGAAGTTCTGCGATCCACCAAAAGAGAACAAACCAGTCCAGAAAACTTCAACGTCAAACAAAGACACCTGGAACGTGTCACTGCTGAAACTTTAACGCCACCTGAGGTAAAATCCAGCCAAACTCATGGTTGGTGACGCCCATTATCACTGGGACGTTCAGAACTTCTTTCCTCTGCAGGAGAACATCAGCTGTGCTGAGAAGGAATTCGCCGTCGACAGTGGCTCCGAGGATAAGTTTGCTCTGCACAGAAAACACAAAACATTGTGCATGTGAGGGCTACAGAAGCAAGAAAAAAGACTCCCAACACAAAACCCAACAATTTCTCACAGCCAGAAAGGAATACATAAGTTCCCACAAGTCTAAATTGGAAGTGATGCATGCCACTGAACCGCCATCTTGGTAGGCAAACGCAGCGGCAAAGCATTCTTAAATCATAGCTTTGAAAAAGAAAGTATACTGATACTCTTGACCAATGTTCCCTCTAAGCTGCGCGCCTGCGCAATCGTGCACTGCTCACATATTCTCAGCGCACAAGAAAATCTATGTAGCGCATAAAATAAAGTCAAACGTAAAGTGGACATTGAGCTCAGACATCAGTTTTGACTATGGACCAATAAAAGTTTTTTCCGTACTACTTTGCGATCGAACTCAGTGAGTGACAGGAATCCAGCCAATGATACGATACGATTCACTTTCGCTACACAGCCAATCAGCTGATTGGCTGTGTGTACGTGGGTTACGTACCTTGGTCATATGGCCGTGCAGGTGAGAATAGTGCGGTAGAATTAAGAAACGTGAAAGCCATCACCTTATCATGTCTACGTGGGACATCCACTCACCAAGCCAAAGTAAAAAAAAAGAAATGCACTTCTTCTAAGATCAAATGGAATCAAATCAAATGAAAGGAATGATCTGCATTTGATATTGAAATGTTGAGTTCAGACTTTTGACTATGGATAAGCAGACATTTGTACACTGGCAAAGAAGTATGAGGCCATTCTCCTCCACCCACAGATTATGGAGGCCATTAACAGTCAATATGCTGAATTCAAGTACATAAAGCAAGAAGCAGACTGACCATCAACCTGGGCAAAGTGTACAACCACTGGAGAAGTGAGAAGAAGTGAGAAGGGCAGACTGTAATTAAATATTTTACAAGAATTTATACTGCATCACAAGCTACAGGAAACATTTCATTGTGCAAAATGTGAATGTTTTAATATGAACAAACATTTATGTCTGAAAGGTGTAATGTCTCATTTCTCACCCTGGCTGAAGCAGGACTCTTATAGCATGCATCTCATGAACAGCAATGTTTTCTTTTCTTTTTTTTATTTTAATTGAGCAAATCACTTAAATTAAAAGCAAACGAATGAAAATTGCTGATGTAATTTGATTTTTTTAATAAGCCATGCAACTTTCTATGATCCCAGATTTATACTTGTGCATGGCCACGCCGTGTACACTGATGATGCTCACAGTGGTCCTCAGTGTGCCCAGGAAGCTTGTGTGTACGCCCAGACACATGAAAAATTAGAGGGAACATTGCTCTTGACCAGGGGTGGACAGAGTAGCCCAAAACTATTCTCAAGTAAGAGTAGCAGTATTTCAACATATTTTTACTTAAGTAAAAGTAAAAAGTACAGTGTACTAAAAATACTTATAAAAGTAAATTTTTTCCAAAAAAGTTTCTCAAGTTAATGTAACTAGTTACCACCCAACTCTGCTCTTGACCAATGTGCAAGAGAAAGACTCTTGTGTATTGTTATCATAGTAACTACATTCCAGCTGTTGTTACAGACACCTACCAAGATGGCGGTCAGCTGCAAAGTTTCCTACAATCAATATACTCTTAATCCTGTAGCGCCAAACTTGAAACGAGTGTCTTCAATATTTCTACCTCTTCCTCAGAGTACAAGCGCTTTCCTCAAAAACCTACCACAAGAAATCCTCCTGACTTCCGCCATCTGGTGGAAAACGTAAGTATTACAGTTAACAGGCGGCAATTTTTGTTCAGTCAGTTTTCATCAGAATGGAGATTACAGGAAGGGAAATGTGAAAGTAATAATTAATCATATATTGCTGTGCGAATATAAAATAAATTAACTAGATAAATTGAAATAAGAATAAGTATTTATTTGTTTTCGATACCTAAAATAACCACATTACAGAACACAGGTGGACATTAACAGTGTCCACCTGTAAACAGGTAAAGAACTCATTTCTTTACCTGTTTGGCTAAAGAAATGAATTCATCTTGAGTTTTCCCTCGGAGGCACCGGAGCAGTTCTTCTGTGCTGCAGATGCAACATCCAGTAAGGTTGGCAATCATCTGGCAATAAGACAGGAAATGAGGTCATTAAAATCACAGAGAAGCGTAGAGTCACACTGGACCAACATGAGGCAAATACCAGAGAAATGTGGAAAAGTCTTGAGCCATTTCTAATTTATTTGTTTAGAAAAACGGGTCCTGATCCACATGGATGGATGGAAGGATGGAAATGTAAGACCATCCATCCATCCATCCATCCATCCATCCATCCATCCATCATCCATCCATCCATCCATCATCCATCCATCCATCCATCCATCCATCCATCCATCATCCATCCATCCATCCATCCCATCCATCCATCCATCCATCCATCCATCCATCCATCCATCCATCCATCCAGATTAAGTAACTGAAATTAGATTCTGATGTTTGACCCTGGTTGTATCTTACAGCTACAGGACTCTCCTCTCTTCCCTTGTGAGTTTTTCCTTTGCCATTGTTTCCTGCCGGTTGGACATGCAGAGAGCAAATCCAAAGGAACTAATCATGGAGATATCCACCTTTGGAGTGAGTACAAACACATTCAAACGTACATGGGCCTGAAGAAGAGGCTGCTCCGAAGTATAGGCCCCAAGAGTTGCAACTCCACTTTGAAAGATTGCCTTGTGGAAAAGTCCTTTCGACAGGGGAGACAGAGTCTGTGCAGAAAGACACTTTTGGTAAGTTATCAGGAGAAATGGAGTGATAAATATCCAACATAAAACAGTTTTGAAAAGTGTGTGATCTCTTCCATTCCCAAGGAATGAGTTTTCTTTACCAGTATGGATGCGCTGATGCCTCCTGCAGACTCCCCAGCAATTGTGACAGATTGTGGATCGCCGCCAAAGGCCTCAATGTTTTCCTTCACCCACCTGAGAGCAGCCAGCTGATCCAACAAACCCCAGTTTCCCTTAGCGTTTTCATCTCCAGTGCTTCAAAAAAACAGGCAAGTTCTTGCTTTAGGCAATCATTTGAACAAAATCTGGATATCAGAACTTTCTTACCTTAAGAATCCCAGGATGCCTAGACGGTACTGGATAATGACTGTCACAACGTTTTCATACGCAGTCAATGAGGAACCATCGTACTGGGAGGCAGCACCCATAACCAGACCTCCTCCATGTATCCACACTATCACCTGAATCACAACGCAAGACGATGTCAGCTGACCTTTGGATATTGGAACTACAGTTTATCGCAGCATGCGTCGAAGCCCACACTGTACACAGACTCAGCCCAGACTGAAGTCGATATTTATGTTTACACATCCACTTCTGTTGAGCTTAGTGAAAATGTAATTGCATAATTATTATTTACACACTACACAAACATTGAAAGGTTTAAAGCTACAGAAAGCAAGCTATATGCTAATTTCTCTTGTGTTTCCTTCCTTAGAAAGTTCGCAATGTCCACAGCTTCTGTGTGCAGCTGAAAGTAGATTAATTCATATAAGATATGAAGTTATTCAATGAATACATGACAACTTTGTAAATGAATTAGCTTCTCTTAAGTAATTCTGGATCAGTTTTTCCTTTGTTTAGCCATGTCTCTATCCTGGATTGACTATGACTATGATTGACTAATGAGAACTATGTGTACTCGCTCCCTTTGTGTATTCAGCCATGATTGAGTCACTACCAGGGTTTTCTTTCATTGATTTTGTGTATACTCTCTTTTTTTCCTATAGAAAGTACTCTTTCCTCAGTCCTATCCATGCTTAACTGGGTCTCTTTCCTGGATTTAGGCAATAACAAATGTTTTCCTGACATCTGCTTTGTCTTTCCTTTCTAATCTACAGAAAATATTCTTTGCTCAATTCTTTACCTCTTGTTGGGTGTCTTTTGGGCATGTTTTAACAACAAAACGTAGAAACACTTGAGGGTTCCTTTGTTTAGCCACGTCTCTATCTTGGATAGTCATTGGATAGTACAAACAGTTAATCCCACTATTAACTGTTTGTACTCTCTTTCCTTTCCTATAGAAAGTACACTTTGATTCTCCATGTCTCTTACAAGGACATTCTAACAAAATACTCTTGCCTCAGTGTTTCTGTGTTTAGTTGTGTCTCTATACTGGATGAAGGCATCAGCATTTGCTTTAAACTTTGTGCACTCTCCTTGACAGAAAGAACTCTTTATCTCCAGCTGGGTCTCTTGTGAGTGTATTTTAAACAAGGTCATCCTGGTTCACTGTTTCTTTGTTTATCTCTGTTGATCTCTGCAGCTGTTCAACTCACCGGCACCTTAACTTCTGGTGTGGCTTCAGCTGGAGTGTAGACGTTTAGATACAGACAGTCCTCTGAAACCTCTGGCACAGTGAAGTCCGTCAACATGGCTATGGAAAAATTTACGACTACTTCTCGATCCTGGATGCACCTGAGAACAGATGGACACCAGGAAGCAGAGGCAGACATCAACAAGTGTCCTGTGGGAAAACGCTGATTTGTTTGGTGATTTGGGGTCGTTACATGGGGGGCTGCTGTGTGCCGTCTCTTTCCCCCTCCCAGGGGTCCGGGCTCTCTGGGGCAGCCAACCGGAGGGGCCCTACAGGCGGCTTGGCGAAGGGAATCCCCAGGTACCTCTTCACCCTCCTCTCTGTGCCTTTTACAGTCAAATATTCTCCTCTGATTTGGCCACTTTTTAGAGAAACCACAAGTTCGCTGCTCCCTAATGAGAACAGAGAAAGGATAGGATTTTTCTGCTTTATCGAATCAGTTACTCTTTTCAAAAATGTAAAATTTGGTTTGATAAAGTTTCACAGAAAAAATGGCCTCCAAAAAGTTTTAAAATTTCAATTTCAACATTAAATTTTTTTCTACTGAAAAAGAAATTGCTACCAGACAACAAAGTAAATTGTACATGCTAATTTATTTTAAGGGTGTTTCAGTCCAGGTATGAAAATGTTCTCGTAATTTGAAAATATTACCTGACTATACTAGGCTGTTAAAGGGTTTAGTGTTATTATTTTAGGCTTTTTATTGTTCTTTGTGCAAGTATGGTTAAGTGTATCCGATTGTCAAATGTAAAACTGAATAATGTTGTTTGTTCCCACTATGTTTCCCCTCTGAGTTGCTAAGAGTTCATTTTTATTAGTTTTCTTCCGCAGGATAAAGACCAAAAACGTCTCCAAACTGACTCAGAATTGGTTCATCAGATTCAAAATGGCCGCCTTTGACCCTATAACCAAATCCTACAGAAAACTTGTGGCCTGAGAAAGTGCACAAGTTCCAACTTTATAAAATATTATGGATGAAACTAAATGTTGAATGTTAATGAGCAAAAAATATTTTTTAAATATCAAAACTACATTTTAGATTTGAGGATTTTTTTCAGTTTCAAATTTTTTTGGGGAATAAACTTTATTGCTTGTTTGTAATCTATATTTATGATCTTGCTTTAAAAAGACTCCTGCTCAGAAACAGCAGCAAATCATAAGACCACATCTATTAAAATGCAATTAAAATAATGCACTATGAATAATAAAGGAATAAAAACAACAAACACAGGCATAGGACTAAAATACAACTTGTTATTATTCAAAGCCTTTAAGGTATTTTTATTATTCCCAGGAAATGATGTGTTATGCAGCCAACAGAAAAATTATTCACCAACACGTAAAACAGTAAAATATGGTAAAAATAATCACAATAAAGACATAAAAACAAAAATATTAACTGACACAACAGTCAACAAGATGTATTTAAAGTGATGGTAGCAGATAAAAATAAATGTCTATGTTTGTTGGTTCTGCAGCTTTTTTCCTTATTTTAAATACTTTATTCCTGATTAGCAGTGGCCTTAAATACATTAAAAGCTCCAGAGGCACTTTTCTTCCTTAAGCTGCTTTGAGGGAACTTTTACGCTTTAAGTTATTAATTTGTAAAAGTTTCTCTCAACCTGTTGTCATTTTTTTTAACAACAGATCTCCAGCTTCCAGAGGCTGTTTTCATTTTCAGGTTTCAAAAATCTTTTTGTCCAGTAGCAAAAACAACATATCTGACTTTACAGAATGAGAAAAGTGGCACAATTAAAAGTTAAAATACTTTTCCTACCTGGTGCTGGATGTGCCGTCGCCATCAGCACAGGCAGCAGGACAACAACGAGCAGCACTGTTCTCATCTTGCGCAGCCAGGAACAAACGACAAAGGTTTACAGTCGGCGTTCAGAGAAATAAGCCTGCTGTTCTGCCCCTCCCCTCTGGTACCTTCACTCTTCACATACAACAAAGTCCAGTAACAGTTGGGTCTCTGCATAAAGGATGTACTACACTATTGATTTAACCTTTATGCATGAAAAAGATCCATCCTGCTCTCTGAACCCAGCGATATTTCCACATGCATGATCTGAGGCACAAACAGTGAACAGGCTGGTCACATGTCTTGGGAGAACAGATACAGAAATCTTAGGTTTGAGCTGCTGAGTCATGCTGATCAGAGGTGGTCCAGTTTATTTAGACAGCCGGGAGAATCTCTTGTTTTTTGATCCCCATCCAGAAGAATGAGCTCTGAGGGTTTGTTTGTTTTTTTACATACATTCAAGCATTCTGGAGTCAAGGTAGTCAGTTTGCAAATTTTACACTTCTTCATGTCACAATTATTCATGGAAAGGTTCATTTCTTGGGCTATTAGTTTTTCTGGACTTTTAAATCTGAATTGCAGCTCTATAGTACAACGTCATGCTGGAGTCATTGGATTTTTATATTAAACTTTGAAATGTTTTTTTAGGAAGAACTTGCTAATGTTTGAGCTTGAAATGGGAAAAATTTCCAAGAAAAAAAAGTCTGAAATTTTGAGAATAATCTAAAACAATTTCAGAAATACTTTTGAGCTTGTAAAGCTGAGAATTTTCAACCTTTGGAATGTTTTATAGTCTGCACATGTTTTGTGGTTTAAATAATTTCTCAAATTGTCTACCTTTTCTCACACTGATGCCTTTTTTATGCACCTTTTCTGTGCTTGTTCTTTGTTTTATGTCTTTTGCCAGTTGGATTTTTCCAAGTATAAGCTGAGGAATAATCAGATTAAAACCATCTGAGCTCATGCAGCTTTTAAAAACACGGGGAGCAGATCGGGTTAGGGAATGCTGTCTGTTTGCCCTACAACCAGGAGAAAACACTTTGTTCCATCAGGCTGAACAAACATGATGGGCTCTTTGGACCTGTTTGGATTCAGCCTCCCTCGGCTTCATCCCGGACAGAGGAGGCTTATCAGCAACATGTTGCAGAACGATGGCAAGAGGGGCATGTTTCACTCAGAACGTCAGCTGACTTATGCTTTTGTTGCTTCATACTGAGATCTGAAACTGTTTCCTGCAGGAAGAATAAACATGTTAAACCTGAAACATGGCGATCCGGATGAAGGCAGGAGAGAAAATGGCTTTCGTTGGACATTGTTCATGTTTGGCACATGAACAATGAGGCAACTGCAGGGGCGGTTCTTAGAGGAACAGCGCCCTGGGTTGGTCCTTCCTCCATGTGCACCCACTCCTCAGATGAAGCACATCATGGATCCATTTGGTTCTGACAGATCCCTATGATGAAATTAAGTTTTGGTGCCCGCTGCCATCTTTGTGCAAATTTAAACAAAAGTGTGTTTATTAACGTCGGCTCATGAGGGCCACTGTTGATAGAAAATATAAGGAAGAAGTAAATTTCTGCCAAACAAAAAATGTTCACAAATAAAAAAAAAATTCAGTTTTGAAAAGTTGAACATTTTCTTGAAAAAGCACTGAAACTTGGAGATTAATCTAAGAAATATTTTAGAATAAACAAGAAAATTTCTAAGCTTCAAAAGTAAAAGTGTCCCCTGAAGCCCCCTGCTGGCCTCTCTGCTGGGTCCGATGGATAGAACCGCTGTCAGAACCTCCAGTTCCACTGTAGTACTGAAATACTGGGTAACTGCCATAGCTACCAGAACCGCCAACCTGTCCACTGGGGTTCTGGTATACTGGACAAGATGGTTCTTGTTGAGAAGATGTTTCCACTGCCTCTCTTAATAATACATTTAGTAAAATTTTCTTAATCATATTTCATAACAAGTGGAGATTTTAGCAGTTTTTAATGAAATATTTGCATTCACATTTGTTTGTTTTTTCCTTCAAAAGACTTTATATATAAATGTAAATATTTTCACATGGTGGTGTTTACGAAATGTCCACTAGATGGCAGCAGTTAACCTTGGTGGCAGAAACAAACTCAGCCTTCCTCTGTTTTTAAATTAATGTTGCAGCAAACACAAAGTTTTTTTAGCTTCTCTGCACTATCTGTTTTACGTTTTTTGTTTTCACAGGGTCGATTTTTAAATTGTCCCTTAAACAAATGATAATCCACTTTCTTTAACTTACTTAAAAAATATCTATTTAATTATTTTTGCTTTACTTAATTGTGAGTTGAATCATAGTTGTAGTATTCATATAATGCATTTTGACAGATTTTTATATGAATTCTTTATTTCATTTGATTTAACCTGAAGTGAAAGTGCTTCAAATTTAAACTTAACTTTTAGCATTTTAATGTAATTATTTGACTCTAATTTTAATTATTAATAATATTTTATTTTGACGGCTTGAAAACAACATTTTATTTTATTTTGACTACAATTTTAGTTATTAATGATATTTTATTTTATTTTGACGGCTTAAAAACAACGCCTGTGCGTGGACCAATAGGAGTTGAGTGCGTCTTGTCACGTCAGACGTAGGGGATGACGCAGCTCCTCCTCCCGTGCTCCACCTCTGTAGCCGCACATTTCAGCTGTACTAGCGCTGCGGCTCCACTGGAAGCGGCTCTCCGGTTCAGACTCCCCGCAGGAGAACCAGTGGGCGGACCGGCGAGAGGAAAGTTGACAGAAACCAGCAGCAGGATTCCAGCCGAACTCCGCGGAACCGACGCTTCCTGACGGCAAACAGCTCCCCGACAGCCGCTGACGGAATAAAAGGAACCGCGAAGACGGAGGAGAAGGTGCGGACTCAGCGGCTACAGGTAGCCCCAGCTGTCTGGAGGGTCATGCGGATCTCTGAGCTGTGAACCGCCGCAGACGAAGAGAACGAAGCCGCCAGCAGAGGGAGGACCGACGGACGGAGGAGGAGAGCCAGCATGTCCCGGAGAAAGCAGAGCAAACCCCGGCAGATTAAACGTAAGGAACCGACAACTTTATTCCGCCTTCGTTCTTTTTATCTGAACGTTCCCAGAGAATCGGAATACTGGGAATTCAACCGAGAAGCCACGGCGCTGAAGCTGGTGTCTGATGTGTAGCTCCCGCTTGTGCACTTGGATAAAGGGATATTCCACTAAATATCTAAAACCCAAATGGGAAAAACTTTAACTCGTGAAACCTGGATTGGCTTATTCTAAGTACATCGAAGCAAGTAATAATCTGTAAAAGTTGTATTTCAATGTTTAAAATCTAAAAGATGCAGTATAATCACATTAATAGAAAATGATTGCACAAATTGTTGAGCGTTTTCCAGTAGTTACTCAAGCTGGATCAAAATTTATGCTTAATAAAAGCATAAAATCACGTATTTTGGGGGTTTTATAAGCAAGATTGAGGTTTTCAGATCACAAATCCAGATTATTCTGCACACATTTGAGATTAGATTAAACATTCCAGTCAATATTGAATTTTGAATAGATAGTTTTGGCTATCTAAATAAAAGTTCACTTGCATTTTAAGACTTAACAAACCGCAAATAGTGTTTTCATGAATTAATCATCATTTTTAGGTTAATCTAGTCCGGTTTAAGGAACCGAATCAGAGCCTAACTTCGGTAAATCTGATATAAAACAATTTCTGAGGCAGAACCGTTAAATTGAGCTCAGCTGCAGAGTTTTTTCCTCCCGGTTTCATCCCTTTCGGAGCCTCCCTGTCGGTGCAGGAAACTTTTCATTCCTTCCTCTCTTTCTGCCCGCGTTCAGCCTGTTTTTCTGTGTTTTCGTCCATCGGCAGCTGAACTGAATGTGTCGCCGCGGCTTCCTGTTTAATTCTGTTGTGGAAACGTCAGTGTTCTCTGAAAAAGCCGATGTGAGGAGAGATAAGGCAGCGATCCGATGTGAGCTCAGATAAAGATTAAAATTGGATCTTTTTTTTTTATCATTTGTTTTCAGTTTCAGGCTGCGCCCCCCTTCACCTTCCCTTCCCAGAGATGGGGGCTGCAGATAGGCCTGCATGGCTGATCTCAGCCGCTGATAGCAGCTCACAATCGGATCTTTTTTTTTTTTCTCCATCTATCCTTTTAACTCAATAATGCATCTGGGGACCGTTTGAAAGGGGCCCTTTTTCTGGTTCTGGTCTCCGAGCTTTTCCTGTTTATAAGACCTGCGAAGCTTTATCAGGTGGTAACTGATGTTCAGAGTTGATAGAAGAAGAAGAAAAGCGCATTTAAAGGCTTGTTGCGCACGGAGTTTTAATGAGTTGAGGAACAGTTAGGAGGCTGCAGCTGGAAGGTGTCTTATCTGTCTGTTTGGCTTTTTTGCATCGTTGATTGTGTCACCCTGTCCTCAGAAACCTCCTGTCTGCTGGCAACACTTTGGAAGTTTAGTCTGCATGATATCACCTCGCAGAAATGCCTTCATGTTTGCAGCCGTAGAGCTCTGATCGCTGTGATCAGATCCTGCATGCAGCAGGTGCATTTCGTTCTCTCATGAACTCTTCAGCACTTAGTCAACTTTACATTTTAATATATTTTTTTTTTTGCACAACTTACACAAAGATTTCATTTTTCTCCCTTTTACAAATAATCTCAAAGGTGTGGAGTGCTTGTGCAATTCATCTTCTCCACTCAAACCTTTTAATGAAATCGTGTGTAAATATGAAAAACAGAAAATTCCGGATGTTTTTTTTTCTCAGTCTATGTTCACACATTTTTTGTTGCTCATGCTACTAATTAAATGCAACCCTAATCAGACGCTGACGTCACTCAGCAGCGCTCTGTTTGCGGAAGTATTAACAGACTCTGCCTTCTTTGGATTGATTTTAAAGTTTATTCAGCAGTGAGAGCCAAATGTATTGTCTAAAAATCATAACAAGACGGAAGAAGCTAATAAACAACTAATAGAAATAACCTTCTGACACATTTTCTAATTTCATGATTATAATTTTCAGACAGTCCAGATTAATCTGGCTTCTTCTGGTGCAGAATTATGACTAATTTCTTATGCTAATGACTTAAACATTGGATTAAATACATAATTGATTTACTGTTATGTATGAAAGTGGCAGAAATTATAGTTTTTGGGGATGAAAAGATTGGAATTTGATCATTCAGGCTGCCATGAAAAAGTTGGACATGGGCAAAAAAAATCTGATTTGGCTCATATTTGCATTCATATAAAAGTGTGTTTTTTTTTGGCAGGGTGGTTAGAAGAAAAATAATTTAAATAAGAAATTAGAAGATATTCAGTTTGGATTTTGCAAGTAGAGAACACTTCAAAAAATGTAGAGAAGTCGGTTTGCTCAGATGAGACCCAAAATTCAGCTTGCACTCCAAATTATTCTGAAAATATAACTGCTACTGTGAAACATGGTGGTGGCAGCATCATGCTTTCCTTCAGGAGAGGAAAGGAAGCTGCTCAGAGTTAATGGGAAGATGACAGAATACTTTAGGTGGTGCAGGTTCACTTTAAAACAGCACAACAACCCAAAAAGAATGCTCCTAAATGGAGCTACAAGCATAGTATGGCCTAGTCAAAGTCCCAACCTAAATAGAGTTGTGGGAAATTTAGAAGATTGCTGCTTGCAGATGCTCTCCATCTGATCTGAAAGAGCTTAGGGTGATTTACAAAAAGGAATAGGTTTGAAAGGAATAGGTTAGAAGGGAGACGAGGAGATGGAATTCTCTCCTTCTTCTTCTTCTTCTTCTTCTTCTTCTTTTCTTCTTCTTCTTCTTCTTTTCTTCTTCTTCTTCTTCTTCTTGTTCAAGCGTTTTTCAGAATAAACGCCACGCCTCCTTTTATCATTGATTCATGTTGTTGTCAGAACATGCTGATGGTTGTCTGTTAAACTTCCCCAGACCATCGTGACCTTTGCTGATATCTGCTTTTATCTCTGCAGATTCTGAAGATGTTCAGCTTCCTGTCACATAAGCAACAAATCTGAGAAAGTAGATATTTGACTCAAATCGCTTTTAGCTGCTCACAGAATCTGCAGATGAAAATTCAGTGTTTTTAAACGTTATTTTTTATATATACGACTGTTTGGGAATAAACTCACCTGTGACTGTGCTGCAGCTTAATGCTGACGGAAAATAAACTTCTGACTTTTAAGTTAAAATCAAGAAAGATTCGTTTTGATATTTGATTAATTGTTTTGATGTAAAGTAGTTTGAATTCTTGTTGTTTTTCTTTTGGTTTGAACAAAGATTTTCAAAATTGAAGCTTGGTTTTATCTTTATTGTCTTGTACTTACAGGTTGTTGCTCTAAAAATGCTTAAAATCAGCAGGATTTCACCTCTCAGTGTTTAGAGTTGCTGCTTTGCAGATGGAGACTTTTTCTGTTTACTTTGCACAATATTTTAAATAACAAATTTATATCTTAATAAATTTTAGCTCTAAACGTTTTTATTTTATTAGCCGTGTTTTTCTTTTGTTTTGTTTTGCTTTCACTTAGATGTTATAGTGAATAAAACAGTTTTGTCATAACCAATAATTAAAATAAAAGAAAATTAAGTGTTTTCAAATATTGTTTGTTGCTGGTAATAAATTAAAACTGATATCTTGACCAACTATTTATGAAACTGAACAGCTTTGAAACTCATTTCTGCACATTTTAATAGGGCAATGCTAAGAAAAATTAAAACAGCATAAAATTATCAGAAAAAAGTTTAAATAATTCAATAATAAAGTTGTAACATTCTCATATTATTGTGATTTCATTATTTCGCATTATTAACTTAGAATAATTGTAAAGAAATTGTTGCCTCTGAGTTCTTTCAACTTGCAGATTTTTGACCCAAAAGTTGTGACAGCGCTGTTAGTTGAACCTAACACCTTAAATCACAAAGATTTAGAATTTTTTTAAATCTCAAATGCAAAATTTTATTTATTTTTTGTACAGTTTTGGGTTATTTATTGCTCTGAATATGTTCTTTTAACAACTGGCCTTTTAGAGTCTGCAGACTCTAGTTAACGATTAACTGATTAATAAATTAACAAAAAAATTATTTCAATAATCGATTCATCACGATTAAACTGATTATTTGAGCCATAATTAACATTCTTTTAAAGTGTACTCATATTTGTGCAAACAGGTTTTTGCATCTGCACTTTTAAACTTTCCGGTAATTGTAGATGCTAAAGTGAACAGAACATGGTCGGGTTCTCATCCAGCTCAAGTCCAGGCTTGATCCCGTCTCAAACCCCTGCAAGCATTAAGTAGGTGGACAAAATTAAAATCGGCGTTCCCATGCCAAAGGGCATAAAAAGTCCCTAAAAGGAGGTCTGGACCCGATTTCAGCAGCAGAGCTCCTCATGTCCCTCAGACAGAACCAGGAAAACTTTCAGACGAGGTTCAGTTTGTTGGATCTCGTTTCCCAAATCTGATCCGAGACAATTCAGCCTTCAGATTCAGACAACAAGCCGCTGGTTTCAGCTGCAGCCTGCTCTGTGCACATGCTGCAGCTTTTTCTTTTAAATGCAAATAAATAAATCACAATATTTTTTTAAAATAAGAAAATAAATATTGTATTGCCTAAAATGCAAAAACGTAGCATTACTTTACTCTGCCACATGAGGAGCTTTGGGTACATTTACAAACCAAAGCTGTTTTTTTTGCACAGTTTTGGCTTAATCACAGCTGTGAGTGTGTTGTTCTTTCAGCAAATGGCCTTTTTTGAGTCTGTTTACTCCATTTAATGATAAATTGATAATTTAGTTGACAAGTGCTTCAATAATTGATTAATAATTCCAGTCCTATTTCCATTCAAAGTTTGAAACTCCCAGCTCCAGTACAGCCAACACAGAGGCCCGCGGTTGTATTCCAGACCCAGAGACCGATAAACTCGGCCCAGAGAGCACGCATGTGCACGTTTCCAGGGTGTCATGGCCGCCTTTGTCAGCTGCCTCGGTCCTCCTCCACACACCGTGCCCGGGCTGCCGGGCCGAGATCGGACGGGCTCTCAGCCCCGTGACTCTCTTGTG